CAGAAAAAGAGTGAGAGCTACTAACCTTCCTGTGAGTTGCTGAACTTCCTTGATTGTTTGCGGGCTTCACATTTCAATCACTGCCTTGCACTTATCAGGATTGACTTCAATGCCGCTCTCAGTGAGCATGAAGCCTAGGAATTTGCCCGCGGGAACTCTGAAGGGGCATTTGCTTGGATTCAAGCGCATGTTGAATTTTCTGAGTCTTTCAAAAACACCTTGTAGATCAACCAAATGTTGTTCCGACATTCTTGATTTGGCGATCATGTCATCGATGTATACTTCGATGCAATTGTCAATCAGGTCTCTGAATACTTCATTCATCATCCTTTGGTAAGTGGCCCCGGCATTTTTTAGACCGAAGGGCATCATTGTATAACAGTAATTGGCGTTCTGAGTGATGAACGCTGTTTTGTCTTGGTCTTCTTCAAGAAGTGGGATCTGATTATAACCAGAGTATGCGTCCATGAATGATAGCATTTTGAATCCGGACGCGTTGTCAACCAACTGATCGATGCTAGGAAAAGGGTAAGCATCCTTTGGACAGACTTTGTTTAGGTCAGTGTAGTCAACGCACATTCGCCATGCGCCGTTTGGCTTTTTAACCAATACTGGGTTGGATAACCAAGTTGTGTACTTGATTTCCCTGATGAACCCGGCGGCGTGGAGCCTTTTGACCTCTTCATCAATCACCCTCTGGCGGTCGGGACCGAATTTCCTCTTTTTCTGGGCGACTGGCTTGGCTTTGGGATCCACCGACAAACGGTGGCAGCAAACGTTTGGATTGATACCTGGCATGTCAGACGACTTCCATGCAAACAAATCTTTGTTTTCCTTGAGCAACTTGATTAACTTGCATTTCATCTCTGGTTCGATGGTGGCCCCGATGGTTGTTGTTTGATGATCCGCATCTCCTAAGACAACATGTTCCAATGCTCCATCCGGCGTGGGTCTGTCATGTTCCACACGCGGATCGTCTCTAGCATCAAATTCTACCAAAAAAAATTGGTCACGCTCTTTTGACTTCTCGCCGAGATTTCTTTCTGATGGCGACGTCGTCCCCTGCTTGAGCGCCCTTTCATCACTGAAGCTAGCTTTGGCCATTGGCCGTAAGGATATGTTGTAGCAGCTTCGGGCTATCGTCTGGTCTCCTCGCACTGTGGCGACTTTGTTGTCTCGGGCAACGAACTTCATTGCCAAGTGGGGGTGTGAAATGCTTGCCTCGAAGGCAGCAAACATCCTTTTACCAAGAATGGTGTTGTAAGCTGATGGGGTGTCGAGCACCAAAAAATGGATGTCTGCGGATCGTGAGGTGGGTGGCGTTCCAAGGGAAAGCCGCAAGGTAATCACTCCCAGTGGCTTTGTGGTGGTAGCGTTGAAACCTAAGAGTTCACCTGTAACAGGAGTTAGACTATCAACAGTGAACCCTAACGCTTTAAAGCATGGTAAAAACAAAATATCGGCTGAGCTGCCGTGGTCAATAAAAACGTGATTAACGCCGAAGTTGGCGATTATAGCTTGAATGACGAGCGGATCGTCATGTCCTGGGAGGACATCGCCTAAATCGCTGGCGTCCCAGACAATTTGAGGCCTTGTTGGACTAGGACTGTGTTTTTCTTTGCTGATCACTTTGCCAGTGACCGCCAGACACTGCTTCAAGTGTTTCTTTCTGGCGTTCGCAGTCTCTCCTCCTCCACTCAGCCCGCCTGAAATCATGTTGATCACTCCGTGCTTCACCGCGGCTGAATCTTCGTCTACTTCTTCGCGCCTTCCTCTACGGTTTGGACTTGCTTGCGCTCTGCGATTCCTGGGGGAATCTTCTCTCCTGTCACGATTGTAGGAGGGTCTGGATCCAGGTTGACGCGTTCTCCTTCTTTCAGGCGACTTGCTGCGCTCTCGATATCGCCTCCCTGCTCCCGAAGGGCGTGAGCCGTCTCCTCCTCGGCTCTGCATTCCGCTTTTGATGAGTTCATCGATTTCGTCTTTGAGGTGCCTGCACTGGTCAGTGTTATGACCGTTGCTGCGATGGAACTTGCAGTACATGATGTTTTCTTTAGGCGGGTTCTGAGACTGTTGGGTGTTCTTGGATTCTTCTTTATACTCCGTTTGTAGGACGGCGTGTGTCTGACGACCTGGTGTATCACGCCCGGAAGGGCGGTTTGAATATTTGGCTGGTTTATTTCCTTTTTTACTCTCTTCCATTTGGTTCTTTTGTTTACCAAGTGCCTTTTCTTGACCGTGGGCGTCATCGACTCGACTTCCTTTGTACTCTTCGATTCGCATGTACTCCTGGGCCAACCTCTTGACTTCTTCCAGGTCAGTGATCTCGTGGCGGGCGAGCTCGTACGCGAACGCACCTTGCCGTAAACCCGAAAGAAGTATATGTACCTGTACTTTTGGGTCCAGGCCTTGCACTTGTAGGGCCTCCTTATCAAAGCGATCTAAAAAGGACCTGAGGGACTCGCCTTGTTGTTGGCGTACTTTTTCTAGAGAGTGGACGGATTTCGGCACAGGGCGACTGGTTGCAAAGTGAGACTGAAACTTGCTCGCCAACTCATCCCACGAAGCGATACTACCAGTCGGTAGAGTAGTGTACCATGTTAAGGCTCGTCCCCCAAGTAGCGTGGGGAAGGTCCTGCACATGAGGAGATCGGTTTCACCATGGAGAGTCATGGCCGCCTCAAACTTCTGGATCCATTCAAAAGGATCGGCATCTCCGACATATGTGGTGATATTGGAGGGTCCTTTGAAACCAAGGGGTATGGGAGTTAATCGGAGGATATCAGTAAGTGGTTTGTTGCGCCCTGACGTATGAGCTGGCGTGACTCGTAGGTTGTTGTTTCGGGGGGGGGGGGCCGGTCCATTTGCGGTTGAGGAGCTTCAACGGAGTAGGAGAGGGCTGGGGCGTGATTGAAAAGTTGTTGGGCGGCATATGGTTGCTGACCCTGGTTTTGATAGGACACTTGGTGTAGTGGAACGGCCAGATTTTGGGGTTGGGCAGCGTAACCTTGGAAAGGAAAACCAGTTGGGTAAAGCTGAGGGAATGGGGCGTATGGTCCCATAGGGAACGGGGTGACCATCGGTGTTCGGTAATCGTTGTGCATGGCTACTGGTAGACTTTGGGCTGGTAGCGGACGATGGGCTCGTGGGACGGGAATGACTGGTGGGGCAAAAGTGTGAAGAGGCATACCAAAGCGAACTCCTGGTGGCGGGGGTTGGTCTTGTATCAAGTTTTCTCCTTGCATTTCACACATAGGTGCGTGATGGTTTAACTGTGCTATCCTGGGTTCGACTGCTTGCATCTGTGGACCGACGGATTGTAGTACTAGCTGGAGCATCTCGCCGGGGGGTCTCCCGGCTGGGGCTGAATGCATCGATGGCAGGGAGTTTGAATGTATTGTTTGTACATGACCGTCAGGTGTAACAGCCCTGGTTTGTTCTGCTCTTCTGGTTGTGACGACCATGTTTGTTACCAAAACGTAAAACACGTCTTATGGATCTTTGGTAGGAGAATGGGAATAGAAGTTTATAGTTCCCCACAGACGGCGCCAATGTACCGTTAGGTTCTGTGAACCCACTATGTACCCTATAGGGTAATGTTACTATATGGATTATACCACTAGGCGAGGTAATGACCAGACTAGTAGGTATAGTTCCAAGAGGCAAGCAAGCTAATAGTAATGGCAGATTAATAGCAAGAGAATGACTTGGAAGTAAATGGGCATAACAACAGTACATAAAAGATACCTCTAAGGTGTGCCCAGGAGGGCTATTTATAAGGGAAATGGAGCGGGCTGGTGAGGGAGAGGTCAACTCTCCTTGGGATTTACTCCCATGGTGCAGTGTTAGGTGTGCTGGCGCTGTCATTATGGCAGTGCTGCGCCCTCTGCACTCTGGCGGTGTCAGCACCGGGCAAAGGGGGAGTTTCCCTTTGTGGTTTCTGTCGTAGTCGCCTTCAACGACAGGCGTTCCAAGATGGGACATTTTGGTGTATGCCTTGGGTCTGCTGCTACGTTGGGGGTTGAGGGGGTCCATGTCAGCCCTAAGGGATGATGTGGGGCAAGGCTGTGGCTGGGCTTGAGTGATTGAGTCAGCTGAGGGTTGGGCCTGTGTAGTTGGGCCGCCCCAGTATTTGGGCCATCCAGAACAATATCTTTAAGTATGGGTGTCAAAACAGGTTATGACGCGTAAGCTGACTCGTGACACGATACAAAAATTCATATTCTGGTTGATAAGCAAAAAAAATTCGTGTTGTGTTCGTGTGGAAAAAAATAAATTTATAAAGTTTGTATTGTGTCGCGTGTTGTGTCAACACGAATTTGACCCATTTTTAATATTTTTTAATTTTGACCCAGTTTTTTAATTTGTTTTGATCAATTATTATTTTGACCCATAGTTTGCATGTTGTGTCGTGTTTGTGTTGAAGATTCTGATATGAATAAAAATCTGTATCATGTTCATGTTGTATGTATTCGTGTCAAATTTGTATCATGTCGTGTTGACCTATTTTGACACTTCTAGCTTGGACAGTTAAACCACAGTTAGTCCTACAGCACAGATTTTTTTAACATGCACCCGGTGCATGATTCATTGGGTGTTCCCTTTCCAAAAACAGAAAAATTCTCTTCCATTTATACCCTTGTTTTTTTAAAAATTCCTTTTAAGTCCTTTTTTTTTGCCATTTTTAGACAAGCCCCACAAAGGCCCGGGCCGCCAAAAATAAGCTCACCTACAGCACACGGAAGAAAATGTTGGAACCCATAATTGATAATTCCAACAATAAGGAGACTAAACAATGAATTTTTGTCTATAAACATATGTCTCTTCTCATTGTAAAAATTTATATATTGTTTCTCTTTATATAAAGTACGTTCTCCTCGCCAAAAAAGAGAGTACGTTCTAGTATTTCTAGGGAGAATTCTCTCCTCCCATCATTTTGAAAGAGATTATAATATCTTTCATTTAGTGAATTGTTGTGGTTTTTTAATTGAGAATTTTCCATGTTAAATGTTTCTATTTTTTTAACTCTGTTTTAATTGTTTGTTACTATTTCCATGACTCTGATAGTCAACATTATCCTTTATGTAAATGGAATAATTTTCATCCACACGTTATAAAAGCAGTGTAAAGTATGATAACTGTGTACTGTATCCATAGCCAAACCAAGTTGCTTATTGGCAGCACACAGAGGGGGACAAGCAATTATTCTTTGCGTGCTTCATTACCTAGTAACATATCAAACTATGGGCTATCATTGCAACTGGTTTTTTAATCATGGTTTGTTTGTATCTCTTGTCCTTGCAAGAGCTGGAAGTTGGTTACTTCAAATACCAACCTACGCAAAGATTCCTTGATCATCATCTCTTCCTTTCAGCTTGAATCTAGGAGCTACAACTTTTCCAAAAAGAGGTAGGCATTGAGAAAAGTTATATATATATATATATATATATATATATATATATATATATATAGATAGTACATAGTTATACCACTGCCATTACATATTTGTCAGATGTATCAATATCTTACTACACACAGTTTAAGGACTTGTCTTGCACAAAGATTTTTCTCTAACAAGTTGTACTCAAGAATAAATTGTACATCATTGCATTCATCTGCAGTTGTGACTAACAACATGTCAAGCACTGCTGGTCTCGTGATTCCATGCAAAGGTATGAAATCATAATCTCATTGCCCTTGTTCAAATTTGATAAAAGAAAGTTAGTTTCATATATCTCAACACGGCCCCTCAAGCAAGAGTCCTTTGGGCGAGAAGCGTGGAATTGACAGTTTTTTATTTTAATTCCACTTGAAAGTGAGAGGCGGTGAGGATCGAACTTGTGACCTTGTAGTCAATCAAGCTCTGATACCATGTGAAGAACCTTGGGATACACCACCCCAAAAGCTAGCTCAAAGAGTGGGAGTGCCCAAAGCCTTATAAAGGCCACATTAGTTGCCCACACAATCAATGTGAGACTATATATCTCAACAATTGCAGTCTCTCGGCCTCATTTGCTTGCAAATTTTAATAATTGCAAGTCTCAATATGCAACCGTGGGTTCAGAAAACCCACTTTCCAAACATCGATTGTAGCAGAAATTTTTGAGTTGTGGGTTTTATATGTTATTTTCTTAATTTTTTTTTTATTTAAGTCTTTTTTTATTCATGGGGTTTCTTTTCTGTGGTCCTTCCTTGGATTTTTCTTACGCAAAAGTTTTTTTTTTTTTTTTTTTTTGAAATATCATTCTGACTAAAATTGTGAGACTATATAAAAGAATGGATCCAATTATTATCTCCATTCGTTGTGGGCTTCTTTGATTTCTGAATTTTTTTTATTTTTTATAAATGGTATATTTGTAGCTGCTGTTGCATGGCAAGCAGGGAAACCTTTGGTGATAGAACGCGTGGAGGTGGCTCCCCCACAGGTCATGGAAGTGAGGATCAAGGTTAAATATACCTCACTCTGCCATACTGATCTCTACTTCTGGGAGGCCAAGGTCTGCTTTAGATATTATCAGCTTCATTATCAAGTTTTTATTTATTTTTTCTAATTCAATTTAATCCAGTTTGATGATCGTCGAGTCACTGAGTCAATAGCTTATTGATTCATTTAGTATATCAATAGTTCAACAAATTAAATTATATAATAAATATATTAAAGATCACTTTTAACAAAACAGCAGGTTAGTGCTAAGTGTTGTACTTTCTATCCAACTAACAGGGTTCGATTATGGCTGCAAAATGTAAAATATTTTACACAATTTCAAAAACCTGTTTAAGAGAAAAAATTGATGCCGTTAATATCAGTTGAACCGCGACGATGTTTGCCACCGGTTTACCAGTTTGATATTGGTTCAATTATGCAACTGGTCTGTTGCCTGGACTGGATCGGTTGATGGTTCAATTCCCGATTCAGCCCGCCGATCCGGTCTGATTTTAATAACAATGCCCTCAACACCATTTTTTCCATTCCGTTTTGGGTAACTTACCAATGTTTGTTGGTGCTTAATTATCAAGTTAGATTAGTTCACTGTTTTCATAATCCTTGATTCATTTGTTCCACATATGGAGCACCATGTTTCCATGCATATTGCCCTCCTAGATCCCATCACCAAATTCCAATTACTTATTGATACTTAGCCTTGGCCAATTTTAAATGATGCTATTTCTTCTCTTAGGGTGAAAAATCAGTAGTGGTAGATATCAACTATCCTTGAAGAATTTGAACTTGAGTTCTGACAATTTTTTTTCTTTTCTCTTTATGCTTTTGATCTTTCAGGGGCAAACTCCTCTGTTTCCCCGAATTTTCGGTCACGAGGCATCTGGGTATGTCGTTTCAATATTTATATATCAATATGGAGCTAATTTAAAAGCTTACACTTTTCTTTTTGTACTTGTTAATTAAAGAATAAGGTGCTTGAAAAGTAGTACAGGCATGTGAATTGCTTAATTTGATCAATACATTACAAATAAAAAAAAATGGTATCTATCTTGATTTAGATATTCTTTCCAAGCCTCAATTGCAATTTTGAATTGGAGGGTACATGTTAAAACTAGACAAATAGATCCCTCAAAGTAATCGTTAAGATGTCTGAAGATAATATCAGTTTGGACTTATAGAAACATTGTTACTGGCAGATTTTGTTAAGAATGATACAGGAGAGTGCAAAACCCATGGCAAAAATATCTCCACCAATGGACCAAATGACAAACTAAAATAAGTCCGTTGACACACATCTCAACCCAAAACCTTGAAGATGTAGATTTATTAGTCTTTTCACACTTATATGGTCCTCACTTGTTCATTTCTAACCGATTTGCGACTTCACTAATACTCACACTTAAATATTTCGAACAGATGTTTATTCAGCATAGTAATTCATTTTTACTAAATATTAGATGAGAAATTATAGCCATTTCCTCATAAATATATGAGTGTCACCTAAATTTAAATGTTTCAATAGAGCCATATGTGGAAGCAGAAAATCTACAAGATCTGTATCTACTTTGTGATTTTGCATAAGTCATTATTCATTGCTGAGTTTCCTTATTTCTAACAGAATTGTGGAGAGTGTTGGAGAAGGAGTCACAGACCTGCAGGTCGGGGATCATGTGCTTCCGGTATTCACTGGGGAATGTGGTGAGTGTCCACATTGCAAATCTGAGGAAAGCAACATGTGTGACCTGTTGAGGATCAATACAGACAGAGGAGTCATGCTTAGTGATGGTAAAAGCAGGTTCTCCATTAATGGTAACCCAATAAATCACTTTGTTGGCACATCCACTTTTAGTGAATACACTGTGATACATTCTGGCTGCTTAGCAAAGATCAATCCACAAGCACCTATGGATAAAGTCTGTGTCTTAAGTTGTGGCATCTCAACAGGTTTGATCCTACCCCTATATGTCAATTTAGGCATCTCTATTTGAGTTTTAGTTTCTCAGTGACAAATTTTATAGAACTATGAATTTCAAATCTCAGGATTAGGAGCAACTTTAAATGTTGCAAAACCAAAGAAGGGCTCTACTGTAGCAATCTTTGGTCTTGGAGCTGTTGGCCTTGCTGTATGTTTGAAATTTCAGCCATCTTCTTTTCTTTTCATGATCTAATTTCTTGTCTCTTCTTATGTATTTATTTTGTATATACTATTATACTCTATTAGGCTGCTGAGGGTGCAAGAATTGCTGGTGCATCTAGAATTATTGGAATTGATTTGAACCCAAAGAGGTTTGAGGAAGGTAGCATCTGGTTTTTACACTATTAAGTCATATTGATATTGCCAAGTTAATTTCAAGTAGATCATGACAAAATATAGATTCTGATTACTTTTGTTTGTTACTTTCTCTTGATGCTAGCCAAAAAATTTGGAGTAACTGAGTTTGTGAATCCCAAGGACTATGATAAGCCGGTTCAAAAGGTACATGATTCATTATCAACTCCAGTTGTTTAGTTATATGTTGTCTGCATGACCCTGACTTTCTAAAGTTAATGTTTTAAATGGCAGGTGATTGCAGATATGACTAATGGAGGAGTGGACAGAAGTATAGAGTGCACTGGAAACATCAATGCCATGATATCAGCTTTTGAATGTGTTCATGATGTAAGCAATTAGTGTTAGATGGGAGTAAATCCTCTGATGTGTTATTTAACATGATTATGTCATGTAAGAGGATCCGAACTATTCATGGGCAAATCAAATGTGATAATTTTGTCATTCCCAATCCCAAAATTTTTTCTCTCTCATCACCATTGATTTTTCCATGAATGGTTAAGATCTTCTCATATGACATCATCATATTTAATATCAAATTTGGTTGCTATAGTAGAAAGGCACATTAGGCTTTTGAATGCCCATTAGATCTTGTTTTGACAATACCAGAAAATGCTGTTATTTTGAGTTAATTGAATTAATAATCTAGATTTTTCGTCGATGCTCAAGATTTTCCTTCTTGTTTATGCATACATGAAATTTGTGACAAGTAACACTGGTGAAGATGTGATAATGTGCCTAATCATTTCTTTGTACTATGTAGGGGTGGGGTGTTGCTGTGCTTGTTGGAGTACCAACTAAGGACACAGTTTTCATGACCAAGCCTATTAATCTGCTCAACGAAAGAACACTTAGGGGGACTTTCTTTGGAAATTACAAGCCTAGGACTGACCTCCCATCTATTGTTGATATGTATATGAATAAGGTGATTATAATATCTTTATGCAATTATTTCCATAGCTCTTATATAACCTAATGAAAACATATTTGGTGAAGTTAAAGCTCCCTAACAGCCTTTCTTTTCCTTGATCGCTTGCAGAAATTGGAACTGGACAAGTTTATAACCCATAGAGTTTCTTTCTCTGATATCAACAAGGCATTTGAATTAATGTTGAAAGGAGAGGGACTAAGGTGTATCATTAACATGGAAGACTAGAAAAATGATAGGAGAACTTCACCGTTTTACTTACCCTCTTAAGACTCATTCCATATGAATGATGTTTTCACTCTGATGTAATAAATGTTTCTTTCTTACTACAAAAACTGAAAATGAGTAGACCATACCTCCAAAATCGTCTATTTTTGGAACAACTGCAACTGAAAAAAAATCTAGTAAAGTTCTCTTAACCCTTAACACATCTAAAGTCAAGACAATGTGCAAGCTTCAACGATGACTTATAGTGGTATTTTATTAGGGATTTCTTTTAAGTGTGACATGGATCGTTTTCTACCCATCAGTGTTTCAAAGCAGAAAGGAATATAACTCAAAACTTATATTTAATATCATGTTCTACTCATTAGTGTTGTCACAAAAGCAAGGGATATATCTCTTTTAACTTTTATTCAGGATCATAAGGACGTGAGTATGAGTTCAACTGACTTTTAAGGCTCTACTAAAGCTAAGGTTAAAAATGTGCACTTCATATAAACAGTGTTTAGTTCAATACAAATCAGAACAACAATAACCAAAGTATTTTCTAATTAAGTGGGGTCAGCTACATAAATTAAATGATGCTATTGTGTAATGTAATGACCTAAATAATACAATGAAGAGGGTTTCTCTTATGTTTTGAAGTTTGCCTTTACTAGATAGACATAAAACTCATCTCCAACTCGTCATCCCCCCGAAGCTACCAAAAACATAAACAAAACAAAAGCGCTGCTCAATAGTATGAAGCGCACAGTTCAATAGCGGTCCTGTTCTGTGTATGGGATTTTCAATCTTCTATGATGAAATATCATCATTAGAAAGTTTTAAGCTCTCTTAGAGTATCCTTTCCTTCAGGTTAAACCAGAAATTGTTATCAAAAAAAAAAAAAAAACCAGAAATTAGTTGCAGCTGTGTTCACAGAAATTTGAGTAAAACATTGAGAAATATATTTACTAGGATTATGACATTATCCAGATTCTAAGCCATGCAAAATGTAATTTGCAAAGTCTTCATTTATACAACAAAAGCTCACTAAACTAAGGCAAGAACACATCGCAGTATCAAGTCCAAAACAATCCGTATATAGTCCCAAATGCATAGGATGCATGCACACGCCATCCCTCAGATTACCTAGCAGCTCAGAACTGATCATCAACTCGTTTAGTCCCAATGACTATATGTCATAGACAAGCTTCCAGCTAAGCCTGTAGGTTATAAAGGCCACCTAAATGAGCCAATCAGAAAGCATATCAATTATGCTGTCACACAAAGGCGAACCATTTCAACTAAAAAACTTAATTTGTTAAGTGAAGGCTATATTAATTATTTTATATTATACTTTTTTAACACTCCTTCACATTCCATTAGGCTTAAACGGTGGATAAAACACAGGTCCATCTACCTGAACTAAAAACTTTCATAATATTTAATTATTTATTAATAGAATAGGATGGTGAGTATCGAACTTGTGATCTCTTAATAATATTGACTTTCATACCTATAAAGAATCATTTCAACTCAAAAGTTGAAGTTTTTAAACTTTGAATTAATGTTGAAAGGAGAGGGACTAAGGTGTATCATTATCACTGAACACTGAAAAAATGATAAGAGTAACTTTATCGTTTTAGTTCCCTTAAGACTCATTTTATATGCATGATATCTTAACTATGATGTAATAAATGTATCTTTATCATTCCAAAAACAGAAAATGAGTAGACCGCACCTCAAAAATCATCTATTCTTGGAACAACTACAAATGAAAAGAAAGAAATATCAAGCATGTCCTCTACACCTATTGTTATTCTTCCTGATCTCGATAAAGAGAAAGAAATAACTGTAAAGAACCAATTCAACCCAAAAGCTTAAGCTATTGGTTGAGGCTACATTAATGGTTTTATATATCTCAACATGCCCCCTCACACGAGAGCCCACTGGGCTTGAAGGGTGGACAATGCACAAGCCCACCTACCTGTGCGAACAAAAAAATTCTACTAGAAAGAAAGTGGGGGCGATGAGAATCGAACCCGGGATACGAGGCTCTGATACCATGTAAAGAACTAATTCAACCCAAAAGCTTAAGCTATTGGGTGAGACTACATTAATGGTTTTATATATCTCAACAATGACTTATGCATATTTTAGTATTTTTCTTCTCCATAGTTGGTAATGGTTTTGTCAAATCTTATGTTCTCATAAAGTAGGAATTGTTCTTCATGAGACGATTCTCTAGAAGAAGATGGAGGATATCAGATTAAGAGAAATGAAAGAAAAATAACATTTCAGAAATTGTATAGATGATTGTTTACCATTTTATTGCACATAAGTACACAGAATGTTCAAACATTGATAGTTCAAAATATATATATATATATATATATATATATATATATATATATACACACACAAGTGAGCATCTTATGGATAACCAGGTTTCTTCCATTTTAGCTGCTGAGTTACAAAGTCACATTAGATATCCACCGAGTGAACATGGCAAAACCTTCATCAGGCTTGTACTCAGAAGCTGTATGTCCCGAACCCTGCATTTAATTAAACCAAAATTGAATTTGTACAATCCCCCAAAAGAAACTTAAATCTTTCATCACACTTTCTATTTTTCTTTAAAAAATAAAAGAGTAAATTACATTCTCCTTTCTTGAGAAATGCTTAAGTACACTGCCTTCCTCTATTTTGAAAAATTATACTCCTCTCTCTTCAGAGATGAAATGTGCTGCACTTCAGTCTATTTTAATATAAATAACCCTCTTAATGACAGGGAAAAACTATAAACAAGCCTTCTAGGGACATCTTTCCTCTCTCTACAACCCTCAATATCACCAACAACTAATTTTAAACACTTTATTTGCCTTTGCTAGTTAAGATTTAATGGGAAGTGACTTTACTATTTACTTTGAAACTTAGAAGATGAAATGAAGTTTTAAATGTCCCTACTTGTCACCTAAACTCTTCATTTCATATTCTAAAGCCCCAAAGTGGATTGTAGGGATCTAACACTAGCCACAACCACCAGTCACGGAGAGAGAAAAAATGCTTCTAAAAGACTTTGTAAAGAATCAATTCAACCCAAAAGCTTAAGCAGATGGGTGAGGGCTTTTTTAATGGTTTAAACTATTCTCTAACACACCCCTCACATGAGAGCCCACTGGACTTGAAGGGTGGATAATGCACAGGCCCACCTACCTGTGCTAAGTAAATTCACAAGAGAAAATGAGGGGCGGTGAGGATCGAACTCGGGACACGAGGTTCTGATACCATGTAAAGAACCACTTCAACCCAAAACCTTAAGGTGTTAGATGAAGGCCTTTTTTAATGGTTTATATTTTTTCTCTAACAGACTTGTTCACATTAAAATGGACCAAGTGTAGCCCATATTAATATTTCAGGGGAGGGAATTGTAGTTTCCCAAAACAGAGGAGAGGAAAGTGTAATTTAAATATCTCAGGATGGGAACGCATTTTACTTGGGGGAAAAAAACGTAATTGTGATTTAAAAAAATTGAATGGTCTTACCTTTACAGTTGCAAATGTCATTTGATTCGAGTAAGTCCTTGTGTATCTGCTTGAAAGGCAAATTATTCATAAAGATTTGGTTACATGCTGTCTTAGAGAGTTCTTGGTAGGAAAGGAGAAATATGAAAAAGAAATAATGGTAAAATAGGATTGAAAGGTTCGGATTTCTTAATACTTCATAATGAGTGGAAAATAAGAATACGGTGTATCTCTCTCTCTAACATTATTTATTTTTTCCAGTAATATGTACATGTAAAGATCTGATGATTATAATTTCAAGGGTTACAAATAAACAGTTATGAATTTCTTCAATTTCTGCATTGATACATCGATTATCCAACTAATCCGAACCAAACTCGGTCGGACCCATATTGTGGATATGGCTCTCCCAAGATAATTTTCCCCATTTCTAAGGCTTGAATAGGAAAAAAAAAGTCTTGGGAAAGTCATACCCTTTACATGGATCCGACTTAGTTCGAATTAAATTAGTCAAATAATGATGAACCCTGAGAAATAAAAAATAAAAATAACTCTATACTTGTTAGTTATTACCCTTGAAATATAACATATCAAGGATTAAGTTCCATGCCTACCCTGCAACTTGGCCATTAACAAGCCATGGCCTCCAATCATCCACAATGGAGTAGTTCAGATCCCTTATCCACGCTTGGGTTGCCATGAAAGGAACAACTGCATCATGGTCCCCACTGTCCACAAAACATCATTTGCCACATGAAATCAGCTAGTCGTTAATGGCCCTAAGAAAGCTCGAAGAAAAACACTAAACATATGAAAACAAAACCAGTTTCCAGAGAAATAAAAAACAATTTAGAACGTGAAAATCTTGACCTGTATATTAAGGAACGGTACCCTTTTGCACTGAGATTTACATGAAACTCAAAGCTACTAGAAATTTCTTCCTTAAAATCAGTAGTGTAACAACGTTGCCATTTCCCTATAGTTCCCTGCAGTACATTGAGTTAAGTACCATTAATATGTATTATAAACATTAACTGCTAAGGCTTCTTTGGTCTATGTTTGACTCAAATTTAAAGTAGAATCACTTGTTAATGAACATAGACTTAACTACTTGTAATTGAACATAATGTTTGTATAGATTTGTTATATCAAACCTCTCGAATATGCAGTGACCTGCGAACACTTTCATCATTGGCCCATTGAGTGGCAAGGAAAAAACTATAAATCTACAATAATGAAAATGGGGAATATTAAAATTTTGGAACATTATGGACAAAAGTGTGTGAATGTATCTAATGTATGCGAAATTACTTGGCAGCTTAATTCTGGCACAGTGAGATGAGGACTAAGAGAGGCTTTCAACTTCTGAGTCAGAGATCTCCTGCACACAGCTTCTTCATGTTGCTTAAGTGCATCATCATCTATGCAATAGCTATCCAAAATGTTAAACATATTAATTCCTGAAAGACACTGAAGATAAGAAATATTATGTTACCAATATGGTGAACAAACTCAACTGAACTGAATAACAAGAGTAAAAATGATGATCATAATAAAAATGGGATGGTAAGTACTTGCCTCCTCATAAGAGCGGTAATCTATTAAACACAATTCGGAATCTATATCTTCATATTCTCCTTTACAATTTCTCTGTAGTGTCTGTCCACGGATGGTACATCATCAAGAATCATTGGCATTTCAATTTAACATTTTTTTGAAATGAAATGGAAATAAATCGTATTTATTTGCAAAGAAAAGCTGTTGCCATTTGTAAATATGCATGGGTAAGAATGTAAGACTTTGTACAAGAATTTTTCTAACCACCGCTCGATAAGTGTAATGGGGAGTGTAAAGAACCAATTCAACCCAAAAGCTTAAGCTGTTGGATGAGGCTACATTAATGATTTTATATATCTCAACACGCCCCCTCACACGAGAACCCACTGGGCTTGAAGGGTGGACATTGCACAGACCCACCTACCCGTGCGAAGAAAGAAATTCCACTAGAAATAAAGTGAGGGGCGGCGAGATTCGAATCCGGGACACGAAGCTCTGATACCATGTAAAGAACCAATTCAACCCAAAAGCTTAAGCTGTTGGGTGAGGCTACATTAATGATTTTATATATCTCAACAGGGAGTAATTACTTTATGCTTTTAATTTATGTTCATCGACAGGCGACCCAACTAGTTTGAGATAAAGATGTTATTAGTGTTGATGTTAAACTAGACATAAATTGTTGATATGACTATAAAGAAATTATTGGAACAGAATTCTATTCAAATGTAACTGATATGCTGGCATTCGAATCTGTAAATTCAACTGAGTATCTTCATAATAGGTTGTTAGGCGGCTTTTAACCAGCAGCTATGAGCTAGTGGGCTGTTAGGTGGCTGTTAGCTAGATTTTATTCCAGTAGATATATTTGCTATTTTTTGTCATTTTGTAGTTGATCTTATTGGATTGTAACAAAAACTTGTGTATAATTAGAGCAATTGATAAGGAAATAAACAACACACTGAACCATATTTCTTGTCATGGTATCAGAGCATTGATCCACTAAAATTCCACAAACAGTTTTTGAGATGGCAAAGAGCAGCAATAGCTCAAGCATGAAGGTGATAGACACAAGGTCACCTTTTTACCTTGCAACCTCTGAAAGTCTAGGCGTGATGTTGACTAACTTCTTGTTGAAGGGAGAAACGAAATATGAAACATACATGAAGTGTGCTCTTAAAGCCTAAAACAAGTTGGGGTTAGTGAATGGAGATGTTTAAAAGCCTGATGATGACTCTTTAGATGAGGGGCAGGCTTGGATTACTTGTAACTCCATGATTAAGAGTTGAATACACAGCTCGATTGATCCATAGTTGCAACATTATGTTCAGTTCTTCGATGCAGCCAAAGACCTTTGGGAGGATTTGAAGGAAAGGTACTCGGTGCCTAACATACTGAGGATTTATCAGCTCAAGGCCAGCATGATGCAAATCTAGTCCAGGGCAAGGTGTTTTTCCAAAATCTAAATGTGATCTTCAACTCTGGATTTTTTGATGCTGATTACGGTAGTTGTCCTCTTATTCGCAAATCCTTGACCGGTTACTTTATCCTTCTTGCCTCTTCCCCAATTTCCTGGAAAACCAAGAAGCAAGCCATTGTCTCAAGTTCCTCGGCCCATGGCCAGCATTACTTCAGAACTTATCTGGTTAAAATCATTTTTGGCGTCCTTGGGAGTGGAACACAGTGATCCTATGAGACTATTTTGTGACAACCAGGCCACCTTGCATATAGCTGACTATCCCGCATTTCATGAAAATACGAGCACATCGAGCTGAATTGTCATTTTATTCGTGATCATATCATTAACAAGAAAATCTCTACCTCCTTCGTCTGATCACCGATCAGCTTGTTGATGTATTTACTAAGGCCCTGGGTCACACTACGTTTCACATTGCTCTTGGCAAGTTGGGCATTAGTACCTTACATGCTGTGACTTAAGGGAGAGTATTGGAACAACATAATGCTATTCAAATGTGACTGATATGGTGGCATTCGAATCTGTAAATGCAACTGAGTATCTTATTTATAGGTTGTTAGGCGGCTATTAGCCAACAGCATTATAGGCGGCTATTAGCTAGTGGGGTATTAGGTCGCGTTAGGTGGCTGTTACCTAGATATAAAGAACTAATTCAACCAAAAAGTTTAAGCTGTTGTGTGAAGCTGCATTGATGGTTTTATACTTCTCTAACACCCCTTTACACGAAAGCCCACTGGGCTTGAAGGATGGACAATACACAAGTCCACCTACTTGTACTAAGAAAATCCACAAAGATTTAATTAAATATTAACTAAATGGGGGCGGTCAGGATCGAACCCGTGACACCGAGACTCTGATACCATGTAAAGAACTAATTCAACCCAAAAACTTAAACTGTTAGGTGAGACTACATTAATGATTTTATACTTCTTTAACACTAGATTTCATTCCAGTAGATATATTTGCTGTCTTTTGTCTTTTTGTAATTGATCTTATTCGATTTTAACAAAAACTTGTATAGCAATTGCTAATGAAATAAACAGCACATTGAACCACATTTCTTGTCAGAAATATACAATATACACAAATATTTTAATGCAAAATTGTAGTACAAACACATCATCACCCTTTACCAACTTCATAAGAAAACACAATGAAAGTAGCTTTACTAAACTGGAAAAAAATAATACAATTACCTCATAGAGTTCATCAGAAATAAGTCCCATTCCATGAGCAAATGGGATTTGATAATTTTTCTCTCTTTTAGTTGTTACGGGGTTCCCTAGTAGATATCCCTGAAAATATTAAGACTTAGGCTTCACAGTCCTTATAAGAAGAGCTATCGTTGATACTACACTTTAAAAAGGATGAAAACTTGCCAACACATGTAAAGAACCAATTAACTTATTTTGTTTAATTTTATTAGAGAACCGGAAATAGGAAATTCTGATATCATGTAATACAACCGATTCAATCAAACAATTTAAGTTTGTAAGTGTTGTCCGCATTAATAATTTATATCATATTTTCGACAACACATTTGATGGCTTTGAATATCAGATTCGGGTATTGATACCCACTTTATAAATTTTTTGTCAGGACTAAAAGCATAGTCAGAGGTATTCATTGCAAACCTGGAGATTTATCCATGGTTGGAGACCTTTTTCATTTGCTGTTAATCAAGAACATTAAAGAATAGCAGTCAGCGTTATCATAATTATGAGTATATTAAACTGTTTATATGTTAGCTACATGTAGAATGATCTAGTTTGTATGCTTGTATAAAAGAAATCCTCTAAAAACTATGTATAAATTTGTAATTTGCATTTAATTCTTTTTTTATTATATATTTAGAGGATGACAAACGAAATCAAATTTTTGCATAAAATTGTTGATCGAGTTCAACAATTAATTTAACACAACATATAGTTTAGTATGAAAAAAAATAAAAAATAAAAAATAAGAAACTCAAATTTTTAGATTGAAATATATATATATATATATATATATAGGGGTTTACATTTCTGCAGCTTTTGTACGTGTATCAATCAAATATTTGTCATATATATACACTTGAAAGCATTAAATGCGGTGAATCACAATCATACAAAGGATGAAAGCATTAAATGTGGGGAATCATAACCATACACCTGTCATTGTTGTACGTAAAGTGGCTGCAGAAATGATTTTATCATATATATATATATATATATATGGTTATGATCATTTTACACCAGTGTAAGTTACACTCTTAATCTTGTCTGTTGATTCCACTTATATCTAAGGGCTCTAATTTTTTAGTAATGTGAGTCATTGGATACAAGTGGATCAATGGTCAAGATTGAGTGTAAGACTTCTAATTCTTATACCGGTGTAAGACTTGTTAGTCTTACACCACATATCATCCGTTGATGGACGAAAATCATCGGTTGTCATTTGTAGTGTAATTAATAATTAATTAATTCATATGACTTTCTAAATTATAACTGTTAGATGCACGGAAATCAATGACTCTGATTTGCAAGCATGTGACACAATTGATCTTTTTTTATCTAACGGCTCTGAGATGAGGTGTCAAAATTAAAATTTGACACCGGTGTCAAAGGATCCTACCTCGTGTATATATATATATATATATATATATATATATATATATATATATATATATATATAGTAATTAAGGAATTGATTTGGGTCAAATGAGAGAACAAAGTTGGATAAACACAGCTAATCTTGACTTGTGATTTTTGTTTTGCTAACTTCTACAGACCAAAGGAGAATGCCAATAGTTAGTTTATTCGTGTAGGACTAATTAAAATTATTAAGAAACACCTTTGGCCTCGTTTTCATTATAAATATAAAGTCATTAGCTATAACCTGAATAACATATTCATCTTATAAATTGAGCCATTTAAAATTTCATACCATTTGAAATTTCTTGAACAATAGCGGGGGCAGGAATGCCAGAGTATGAATCAGCTCCAACGTAGAATTTATTTGAAAGAAATTCCGAGTGATCAATCAGCCACTACAAAGATTAAGAGAAAAATAATAAAATGATCAAAATAACATAGCTTGTTTTGAGCTATAACTAGGAGATTGATTCTCCAAAGTAAACTATAAACAAAGAAAAAAAGAAAAATGTTGTACGAAATATGATGACAATGACATACCACAAAATATATGGATGTGGGGAAATTGCTGGCACAAAATTGATGTGAATGATGAAATTGATGGCACGAAAAAAAGCATAGTGACAATACCTTTCTAAGAAAATGATGGGCATGGTGAACTAATTTCCAGTCACTTCGTTGAGCAGTGAGATTTTTTGCATATGAGAAACCAGTTCCAAGTGGCAAATCTACAAATATAATGCTACATACCTGGCCAAGACAAAAAAAAAAAAAAAACAGTAACATTATAAGCACTAAATCACCTTCCAATAACAAAATAATAAAAGGAATGATAGCTAGTTACTCTATTTATACAGTTATCTCAACACAGATTATACACAAATTACAACCACATGCTTAATATAAATACTAATTTCTACTACAAATTTTGGATTAACTTCAATAAACGAAATCAATGCCAAATTCTGGAGGTTGCATTCTGTACCTTTGTCCAGGATTGTGGCCTCAAGACCAAATTAGGAAGGCTCCCATTGTACTCCTCAGTTTTAAAAGCAAGTGGACCTATTACACCCAATTGATGACAAAAGTCAATCTGTGAGAGTTGTCGAGTGGATAACTTTCAGTAGGATAAATTCTAGTGAAAACCTTAATCAAACACATAAAAATAGTTAAAGCACAACATTGATTTGTACACATTTTGCCGCAAAATTATTCTGCATGAAGCAAAATCTATGACAAATGGGCTATAACGTGATTGTGATTGTATTTTGATTTGATAAAACCACTCCCTATTAAATCCTGACTAGCGAAGGTGAGGTGAGGGCAATTCATGTACGTATCATTACCTTTACATATTTGCAAATATGCTATTTCCCAAATTTGAATCCGTGACCTTTCAGTAAAGGAGCAGCTTTACCACAGCTCTAGGCTCACCCTCTTTTCAAAACCACTCCCCATGAGGGTAGAAATGAGGACAATCATTGTACCCAACCTTACCACCCTTGCATATTTGCAAAAAGACTATTTCTTAATTTGATAAATATATAATAAATTTACTTTAGAATTTAAATGCGGCCGCATCTACAAATACAAAAAGAAAAAGAATTATGCAGCCACACCTACCACCTGTGTACATTAAAAACGGATTATAATCACCAAGTACGTGGATCAACTTGCACGGGGTTGTTTGAGCTTAGCTAATGATCTCAAGTTCAAGTTTTGGATAAGTAAAAACTTTTAAAAATTGGGGCATGAAGCTTCCGTAGGAGGCGTTGGAACAACAATTGATTCTGTGGTCAGGATGTTTCCTATTACATGTCCCAATGAGAACCGGTCTACCACTTTATAGAATATTGACAAGAGCTTGTTCGAGCACGTGTCAACCCACACAAACGCTTATGAGCTTAGTACGAAGCTTGAATCCTTTATTTAAAATAAGATGTCACACAACAAAACACACCTGATGCATCAATTTGTGAAGTTAGATTACAAGGATTGAAAAAGCATGATTGAGCAAAAGTATAAAAAGATTTTCTCTAACCTTTTTTTTTCATATTTGGCCAAAATTTTCAATATCGTTGCATATACTAAATGAATTTAATTTAAACTAATTTCACTTAGTTATGTTATGCATTAATCAATAAATAGTTTCAACCTCATAATTAAGTTCCTAAAGAGGACAAGCTTGGGAGTGTCGTACCCTAACAAACTTCCAATTTACATCATATTCCATGTTGTGTGTTGGAAAGAATATTTTTATTATTTGTAAAGATCTATTTCCTTATTTCATTAGGATTTAGGTTAGGTACGGGCTAAGCCCATTAGTGTTTCTTTATATATTGTACTCTCCTGAATCAATTCAATATATAGATTTATTTAAATGTTCCTCTTGTCTCTTGTTATTTTACATGGTATCTGCAGCCTAACGAGAGGAATCCTTGTTCTTCTTTCCTTACATATTTTTGTAATTTTAATATGGTAGTAAAGAGATATCACCCACCACGAGGGATTAACTTTCCCAACTTTTCCCTTTTTCTTTTTCTCTCCGCTTCACTTAGTTTATTCTTCTTGTTTTTGCCTTCATCGCTGCAAGTGTAGTGCTCCGTCACCGTTGACAACCCAACTGCCGTTAAGCCCTCTGTCCGCTTACGTCGCCATCAGCGTCGCTGTTGCCATCTGCGCCCACCGCGCCAGTGTTCGCACGTCGTCTCCCTCCTGGTTGCGCGCCGTTCCAGTCGGACCTCCATAGATCTGTTCGTGCTTCATCTCTGTTTTCCTAGATATATTCACCGGACCTCCATCTCCCCTGCGTTGAAAATTCTAAGAAAGCCATCTCTGTCCACCTTGTCTCTGACGCCATCGACTGTTGCCGCAGTCGGAGGAGCCGCCGCAGCCGAGTTGCGCACGGTGGGGGTCCACCATCGGATTCCCTCTGCTATCCACAATCTGACTCGCCTTCACCGATCTGTGTTCATCGTATTTGTTCTTGTTTTCTGGCGAAGCTCATGTCGTCTCTCTCTCTCTACATCAACCAAATCAAGTCATTGTTCTGGCTGCGTCTCTTTCCTCCGGCCGCATCATCTTTTCTTCTCCGGCTGAATCTTGTTTCTTCCGGCTATGTTTTCTTCTTCTTTGTTGATTTATTATTTTTACTTTGATTTTCTTTTGTAGCTTGTATTTGGCCAATTTTATTTTATTCCCACATATGTTTGTGGTGTTATTCAAGTCTGATTTGACTTGTATTTGATTTATGATCATTGTTTGGCTTTATTTTGGCCTCCGATTCAGGGGGAGCATTTATCTCCGTTGTTGCCTGGTCCGCGGATTTTTCCAATTAAAGTGGCTCTGTCGGCTTGTATCCCAGTTGCAACAATGTCTTTCCCAGCTCTTTTGGCTGATATCTTTCTTAGTGGTTGCCTGGTCTTGGATTTTTCCAATTAAAGTGGCTTCGTCAACTTGTATCCCAGTTGCAGCAATGTCTTTCCCAGCCCTTTAGGCTGATGTCTTTTCCAGCTCTTCAGACTGATGTTCATTCCAATTGATTTGCTGTCGATTTCTCTGACTTATATTCCATGAAGCTTCGTTTTAGTTTTCTTTCTTCCTAAGATGAAGTGTCCCTCCATCTTGAGGGGGAATATTCGAGATATAGATAATATTTTATTTTAATTTATTATGTTTGTTATTTTTCTTTAGGGTGAGTTGTAAAATTGTTTCAACCCCCACTCATTTATTTTGATGTTATGTTTCTTAATCTTTCTTGTTCAAGCTTGTTGCTTATAATCTATACGCTCCAACTTGAGGGGGAGTGTTGGAAAGAAAATCTTTATTATTTGTAAAGATCTATTTCCTTATTTCATTAGGATTTAGGTTAAGTATGGGTTAAGTCCATTAGTGTTTCTTTATATATTGTACTCTTCTGAATCAATTCAATATACAGATTTATTTCAATGTTCCTATCGTCTCTTGTTATTTTACATTGTGATACTCATATGAGTCATATCCAGATATCCATTAACAAACTTGCAAAAAAAGTTTCACGAATAAAAAGTTGAAACTTGAAAATTACCTATTTGAAAGGCAAGAGCCGAAAATGAAGAGCAGCCATGGCCACCAGTTAGCCAAAGCATAAGAGGGTCTTTCTCAGGGTTGTTCTCTGACTTAATAAAGTAGTAGAACACTTGCATGTCATCATCTCTTTCCCCTAATCCCACATACCTGTAAAATGCACACAAACGTGATAAAACTATATATTTGCTAGAGAACACGAAAAAAAAAAACGTAGCTTCAATTACATGGTACACACTACCATTGCTCTCTTCTTTTTTTGGTAGTTACCATTGATCTTTTTTATGTCCTGCTTGCACGGTTTCACTTAAGAAAACAAGAAATATGGTGGGTTTTGGACTTTTTTTTTTCTTTTTTCAGGAGCTCTTTAAAAAGAAATTGCATGTGCGTTGAATGCCAACTTAAAAAAATAAACTAAATGTATCTGGATTCAATTTAAAAAATAAAAATAAGAAGAAAAAAAACTAATGTAAATTTTTTAGATGATTTTTAACTTAAAAAAATCAAAATACTAATTTCTAGTTAATTTTTTTTAATATTGATTCAAACATAAAATAATTCTAATTTCTTTAAAAAATAAAAAACCTTTAAAAAAAAGTTATATTTAGAATCTTTTTTCGTTTATAACCTCTTACAATCAAATCTTAACCATTGATTTTCGTCAATTTGAAGATTATAATTTATTGAAAATTAATAATTAATTAATAAGTATGACTGGATAAATTATAAATGTTATATTGGCGAAAATCAACAGTTAAGATTTAGTTATAAAATGTTGTAAGCAAAAATAGATTGTAAATATAGTCTCTCTCTTAAAAAAAATAAGAGAAATTTTCTTACATATCCTTCGATTTTCGTGCTGACATAGGCCACACATAACTTTTTATAATATATGGGTTCCACATATGACTTTTTCTAACGTATGGGTCCCATATACTTTTTGTTTCTACGGCATAAAAAGACTCATCTCATATAATATAAAAAGTATAAAACCCTTAAACAAAACACACACACTGTCAGAGAATAATATAAATAATTAAAAAGCTCTCACGCAACACCTTAAGTTTTGAGTTAAAATGATTCTTTACATAGTAGGTTATGAGTTCGATCTTCGTCTCTTCCCACTTTCTTGTAGAATTAAATAAGTATAAAGTTGTTATCAAAAAAAAAAAAAAAAAAATATAAAGTAAAAAAAAATTGTGCTTATACAGTATCCACACTTTTAAGTCTAAAAAACTCTTGCGAGAAGAAATGAATATAAATCATTAAAAAATCGTCATCTAACACATCAAGGTTAAAATAATTCTTTACCCACACAATTAAGTTGACCAATTAAAAACTCAAAATCTTGAAACAAAAAAGCAGGCCAAGAAATGGAATAGAGTGGTATTACTGACCCAGTTTCGAGTTCAAAGGGAAGAGGTCCTTGAAAGCCAGGAAGCAGTTCCACCTTTGACCGAGAGGCTTCAAGCTGAGATGATATCTGTAAGAAAATTGCAAAAGCAAGTAGAATCTGACAATAGCGATAACAATTTGAAATTATATTCATCCTGCAATCTTCACTTTCTTGTGTTCTGTTTCTCTGAATTTATATCAACATATCATGTTGTTGTGGTTGTTGTTGACTTTGTTGGGAAGGTCGCTGGTTTTATCGCGCGCGAGAGCGGAACACGAATGCACGAGGATCGACTTGAACCTGTCACTTTGTCAGTGTCGACTACAATAATGGAATACTGGAATATATATATTATATGCATATAATAGCATATACTAAAATACGATAAGAGTCTGTATTAAAAAAAAAATACGATAAGAGTGATACGTGTACTTTACAATTTTATAATTCTACACGTGTTATTGTTGGGGAATATGCTATTTTTGTTGCAAGAGATAAATTTCACATGTAACATTCAAAAAAGTGGATGAAAATCACGAAAAAAGGAGAGAGAAAAAAAAGTGATTTTTTTTTTCTTTTAATGTATGAGACTTATCATGTTTCTCATTATTATTATTAATATTATTATTATTATTATTATGGCTTCATAGCTGGTGGCTATATTTAATAGACAATTGTTATGATTAGGAAAAGAAAGAATTCTTGAAATAATATTTCCAAAAAAAAAAAAGAATTCTTGAAATAAAATGGAATTATAAATAATCATTATCATTTATATTATTTAAGTTAAACTGAAATAAAATAAAGTTTCATAACATTTATTTTATTTTGTTGAACATTCTTATTTTTTCAAATAATAAAATAAAAACTTTTTATCGAAAAATTAAATAATTATAATTATATTATTTATCCCATCTCTTTATATTTTCTTAATTTTCCTCATCATTGAAATTTTTAAATATAAAATGTAAATTGCATCCACTAAAATAGTAATCAGGATTATAATTGGTGAATTATTTGTAAATTGTCAAAAAGCACTAATTGATCACGTCACTTTTATCTACAATTTTTTTTATCCAAAAAATATATTCGATGACGGAAAGTTATGATTGAAACTATCGGATAATAATCAATGTTTTAAAAATTAATTGAATTTCGAATTATGGTTTTAAAAGTTATTTACATCGACATATATCCATTTCAATTCCAAAATTGAAATATATAAATATAAAAATTGTTAAAAGGCTAGGGAAGCCAAAATAAGGGAAATTATCATTTAGATATATATATAAGCAATTATCATTCAGATATTAATTGGCTAAACAATAAGCCGATAATAAAAGAGTCTAACATCACATCTTAACTCACAATAAATGGGCTAAAAGCAACTCCACCTCCAGTGACAATTTTTTCAATATTCATAGGGTTATCAACCAAGAGTGGACAAGTCTTGGTTCCACAACTTGGTTTGGACAGAGCCAACAAACCCGAATATCAATCACTATTTTTAAATACTTTGCCAAGTTGATTACCTGGTAAACATATGACAATTAACCATTGACTTTAATATTTGGGCAAAGGTTAATCACAGCCTCTCTTGTAGCAAGGAAAGGTCTACCAAGAATTATAGGAACTTTCTGGTTAACTTCAAAGTTGAATATGATGAAATCAACTTGGAGTATGAACTTATCCACTTGGACAAGAATATCCTCTATCTTCCCTTCGGGTCGGGTAATAGAACGATCAGCAAGTTGTAAGGTCATTGTTGTTGTTCTCGCATCACCAATCTTAAGCTTCTTAAAAACAAATGCTGGCATCAAGTTCACACTTGAGCCTAGATCATAGAGTGCTCTCCTATGTTAATTCTTCCCAAAAGTGCAGGGAATTGTGTAGCTCCCTGAGTCCTTCAATTTTGATGGGATTTTAGTCAAGTATTTACAAGATTCTTCAGTCAATGCTACAGTTTCAAATTCTTCAATTCTCCTTTTCTTGGACAGAATGTCTTTCATGAATTTTACATGAGAGAGCATATGCTCCAAGGCTTCAACAAGAGGTATATTAATGTGGAGTTGCTTCAACAAGTCTAAGAACTTCCTAAACTGTTTGTCCTCATGTTTCTTCTTCAACCTTTGTGGAAAAATGTGGTTGAACAGGTTCATTCTTTCTTTTGCTTGGTGGAAATAGGATGGTGCAGAATCTGGTTAGTTGGTATCTTTGACTCCTGGTGTGGTGTCAAGAACTGAAGTAGGAGAAGTTGCTCCTGCTTCTGCTTCTTTTTAAGCTTCAAGATGGTCTTGTTGGGGAGCAACGTCTGGCTTCTCACATGTTTTCTTTTCATCACTCCTTATGAGTACATCAGGTATTTCTGGTGTTGCTTTCAGTTCTTGTAATTGCTCTCCAACAAATTCAATGTTAGAACTTCCATCAACAATCTCCTAAGATGGTTTTTCTGCTCTGCGCTTGTGAGGTCGAACCACTGGTTCAAGCTGTGGGACCACTCTGTCGCCAGGCAGATTTATAGCATTACATTGCTCATTCCTATCTCAAAAAGGTTTCTGAATGTCACTAGGTAAAGCTCCTTGAGGTCTTTGACTTGGAGCATTGGTTATCTATCCTACTTGTGTCTTAATATTCCTCATGGCCGCATTATTTTGATTCATGTATTCTTTCAACAGATTCTCCAAAGATTGAAATCTAACATCATTTCTATCTTGGTTCTAATTCTGTTTTGTGGGTAGTGAGGTCTATTCTGATAGTTTCCATAGCTGCTCCAATATTGTTTTGGCTCCTCCATCCGTGGTTGTTGTAACTCTAATTTTGGTTGTTGCTTCAATTGTTGTTGTAATTACTTGTATAGCAAACAAGAGCAAGGTCAGTGTTGCATTCACCAAACTCATGAGGTCCATTACAAACAGAACAAGATTACATAGATTGAGCATAATAAAGTGTAGTTGAGGGTTTAGATTCTTTATTTGGCTCCCATTTTTGATGTTGGCAAGTACTACTATATGTGCTGTTATGGCAGTGGATGCATCTAGGTCTAATACTCCAAATTTCTTAGGTGCACTTTGGTGCTCTAAAGGCCACTGAATGTACTTCTTGGCCAATTTCTCCAGCAAATGAACAATCTCATCATAAGTACAATTCAACAAATCTCCACTAGTAGCTGATCAACGGTTGCTTTGAGCAGTGGTATTAGTCCATGATAAAAGGTGTGAATGACTCCCTGATCAGATACTCAATGGTTGGGACATCTACTCAACAGATCCTTATAAAGCTCCCAAACTTCATACAAGTTTTTTCCATCATACCCCCGAAAGGATGCAATGTCTGATCTCACTTGGGCTTGCTTTGCACCAGGAAAGAAACGTGCTACAAATTGCTCTGTGAGTTGCTCCCAACTCGTGATTGAATTTGGAGGCAAAGTAATCAACCATTCTTTAGCTTTATCTGCTAAGGAAAAAAGGACATAATGTCTTTCGCATATTCGCTTCAATAATCTCTTGGACTCTAAAATTATCAATCATTTCAGTAAAATTTTCCAAATAGTTATGAGGGTCTTCCAAAGGTAGTCCATGAAATTGTCCAGTATTCATGATCATTTGAAACATCACAGGTTTAATTTCAAAATTGGGTATATTTATTGGTGGTGGAATGAATCCTCTATTAGGACCATTTCTAAAAGGTGCTGACATATTATTGGTCCTCTATTTCCATTATGTCCTCCATCATTTTCATTATTTTCAAAGTTGTTATTATTATTGTTCCTATTATTCCCGTTATCTCCATTGTTCAGAACTTCAACCATTCTGTTCCTTCTATGTCTTTGCACTTTTCTCCTATTCCTAAATGTTCTTTCTGGTTCTAGATCAAACAATATTAGTTCAAGAGCAGGTTCATCAATTTCAGTGTTCATAAACAATGGTCATAAATTAGGGGCAATAGAACAAAACAGTACACATAAACAAGAATAAAATAAAAATGTAAACTTTACAAAGAGGTTAAAGGAAAACACTTCTTGGAATACCCCTTTTGCCAATTTATCCCCGGCAACGGCGCCAATTACTTGTTGGTCCAAGATCTGCTCGGAGTTAATTATAAGAGAAAAAGTCTGAGGCGCAAGTATTATGTCAGAGGAGAAAGTAATCATACAAAGAGAAAATCTACCCAAACTGTGCAAACGTACACATCAAGTAATACAGGATTTGTTATGAGATCCATATTATCGTCCTCAAGGAAAAGTTGCGTCAAAAGAAATGTAAATAAGAAAAGAATTAACCGAGAGCAAACAGAAAGTAAAAAGCACCTCACTTCAAGGAACCAATTCATTTTAAGACTTAAGGTTAGCCAAAAAGTTCTTGTCACCAGCTCGATTGAACAGTGTTAATGAATCTGAAATGACTAAGAACTGAGTTTATCCCTTAAACTTAATTGAACTTTTCCTTGAATGAAATTGGAAGATATGGGAATTGAGAGCAATGAATGGCGAGTAGAGAGAGATTAAGAGCAACAGTTGGGAATCGGTAATGTTGAAAATAGTACTAGAAACATAGAGCATAAGTGAGAAATATTGTCTTTGGAAATTCCTATAATCATTAAACAAGTAACAAAAGAAGAATAAAATAACATTTATTCAAGTTAAAAAGATATAGGCTCAGGTTGGTATTTTCAACCTCTTGGTTGTTCCTAAAACTCCATCTACTCCTAAAAACGAAATAAGCTCCTAGCAACCTTAACTATGAGGATAGATTCCTCTATCTCCAAGTTTTAACAACCAAGGCAATCTGATGTGTTTTGTCTTGAAGACAGAGATGTCTAACCCAAAAGGCTAATGATTTTATCTTTGATCTAGGTGCTCTCTCTAAGGTATCTATGAGTTAGATACCTTTGAGTTTAGCGGATCACTGTGCACAAAAGAATAAAGAACAACTTTCGCCAAAGGGGTGGTGTGTGTGCACAGAGACAGCATAAATGTAAGAGAAAGAGAATAATGATACATGTAGGCTTTACCTCTTATTTATAGAGTTTACCTGTGGGTATTAGAATTCTGGACCTTTTGTTCCTTCTCAAGAAGCCCAAGCCCAAGCCTGATGTTGTCGTATTAGGATTGATATCTTTGATGGATATCCTCCTTTGATTATACCAAATTTCATTTGGATTACCCTTTATTGGGCTATATGATGAATGAGCCTCATATATGAGTCCATAATATGACTTAACAGGCCTCTTTATACCAAGCTACCTTAGAAGTCCTATTAATTAAGACTCAAAGGAGATTGTGCTACCATTTCTTCTATGAAGTTAGCTGCAGAACATGCTATTTCCATAGCAGTCTACACATTATAGTGTTCCCTAGTTTTGAGTATTCCTCCCTCCCGATAGCGACGTACCCCAAGATTTTCTTTTTTCCCTTGATTACCACCACCAAGAACAATAAAAGCAGGAAACATTACAAATTTAATTAATGAAAACACATTTACATGATAAGTTCAACCTAAGACTAAAAGGGATACTTCTACTTCCCCTTGCCTACAAAGTGTATGTTTGGATAGGCTTTTGCTTTTACAAAAGCTATTTTTTTTTGAAAAAAAAGTGCGTTTGATTTTTTTTTACTGTTTGGATGTTGGCTTTTGAAAAAAGCAAAAGCCAAAAAAAAACTAAAATGTGACTTTTTTCAAAAGTTAAAATTTGTGACTTCTGGGAGAAGTAGAAGCCAAAAGAAACATTGCTGACCATCGTGGACACATCTTATCCTCAGTGCCTTCAACCTCACCTCTGAGTGCAGGGACAAGGGACACCTCACCCAATCATGTTCCGTTTCTAGTTACCACCACCACCATTCTTAGATTGATTTTGCTGACTCAAACAAACCCTTTTTTTCCAAAAGAAAAAAAAATCCTAACACTCTCTTATATGTTTGGTTTCAAGAATCTAACCACAATTAGTTTTTGATCATCTTTCTTTATCTTCCCTGCCTCTCTTTCTCTCGTGGGAGAGTCTGCAATTGTTGAATCCTATCCACTTGAATCTAAAATTTTCATCTTTTATTTCCAGGGGGCATCGTCCTTTGAGACCCAGAAAAAGAAAAAATCTTTCAAATCGCTTTGACCTTCCACCACCAGAATAGAATTGAAATTGAATTTTTGATTTCTTGAAATGGCATCATCATCTCTTATCTCAAACCCAGTAACGAGCACGGACATGTGACTTGGTTGAAGGTGAGGGCTTCGAACTCATAAATGACGATGGTGACTTGGGAGAAGAACAGGGATTTTGGAGAGTTTCAAGTGGAGGTAGTAGTGAAGCTCGCAAGGAAGGTAGTCTCTAACAAGGGAGCAGAGAAGCATGGCAATGGCAGCTACAGAGGGAGTGATGGAAACCACTATTTGAAGAATCATGGTTCGGTGATCAGAATTGAAATGTGGGGAGTGAGAAAAAAAAGTGGTCTCCAAAAATCAAAGACAGAAGGCACAACAATCATTTTATATTTAAAAAGTATTTTTTTATTTTAACATTCAAATGATATTTTTATTTAAAAGCACTTTTTAAATATTATATCCAAACACAAAATAACTTTGGCTTTAAAAAAAGTAACTCATAAAAAGTCTTTTTTTCAAAACCTCATCCAAACGGGCCCTGAAAAGATTTAGCTTATACTAAGAGCATAATGAAAATCTAGTTACAAAAGGAAAATAAAAACAGAAAAACAAAGAACAAAGTGAAGAACACTAAGGAGGACGATGAGTCCTTTCTTGATGTTGCCAAAAAGCTTCTGAAGGTCATGTCTCCTTCAATATTTATAGATGATGTGTTCTCCTCAAGTTGATCTCATCCCTTGATTGATTAATGGTCCAGATTATGTTTATGCTCTCCAATCAGGGATGTGTTCTTTGACAGCTCAACCCTAAAACATTCTTCTAAGCTTTTTTTCTTGTTTTTTTTGAAATTTTTGCATTGCACTGCCACAAAATGTCGTGCCACCTTCTGCCTGACATGTCTCTCAGATGCAAGTTACCTTTTCAGTTGCAGGTTGCCTTTTCAAAAGAGAACGCTAGTACAGTTGCTTTTTTGCTTCTTATTTTGCCTTTTGTCCTTTTTGTCTTTTTCTGCTTTCTTTTCTCCCAACCTTTGCCTCTTTCCTGAATTGAGATTTCTTTAGATGGTCACTTGGTTTCTTGAAAATGTAAAATAGTCCATTAAGCCCAAAAGTAACAAAAATAAACCATTTTACATCCTGTTACTCCCCACTTTCCAGAAACATAAGTTGCTCCGGCCCAATTTGCAATTAAGTGCTTCTGACTGCAAACTTGGTTCTAAACATAAAATTTAATAACAAAAAAGGGAATTTAACAATAAGATACATAAGATAGCTCTACACTCTTGGGAGCTATCAAATTTCAAAATATTTAATTATTTATTAATAGAATAAGTTGATGAGAATCAAACTCGTGAATATTTGATCACATTAACTTTGATACCATATAAAAAATCATTTCAACCCAAAAGTTTAAACTTTTTAGACTTTGAATTAATGTAGAAAGGAGAAGGACTAAGGTGCATCATTAGCATGGAAGACTAGAAAAATGATAAGAGTAACTTTATCATTTTAGTTCCCTTAACACTCATTTTATATGCATGATATCTTAACTATGATGTAGTAAATGCTATTTTCTCATTCCAGAAACTGAAAATGAGTAGACCGCACCTCCAAAATCATCTATTCTTGGAACAACTGGAACTGAAGAAAGAGAAATATCAACCATACTGATGGGCTAGGATTAGTGGGCCCAAGTTTAGCAATGCAAAATTAGTTAGTTAGCTAATTTGTTAGGGAAATTATTCTAGAATATTCCTAAATAATAGGATATAAGGAGGGGGTGTGGGAGTGTGAGGTATTTATGTATTCAGAATTGGTTAGTGGGAATTTGAGAGACCTGTAGGGAACTCTTGAGCCTAGGTATTTGGTTGGAGGGGGAGTTGAGGCATTCTCTGGGTTTATTTTCTGCAATTTATCCTTGTAAGGAGCTTGTCTCCATTTATATTTCTGCAATTTCTTATGAATAATATTAGGTTCCATCAATTTGGTATCAGAGCACTTCCGATCTAGGGGTGCTTTCTGGTCCAGATTCAAAAAAAAAAATCAAAATAAAAAAATCAAAATCGAGCAACAGATCCAGATCTGGTACAATGGTTCCAGAATTTTACGAAGACGAAGATGGAATGAAAGCTTGGGGATGGTTGCTCGGGCTTGAACAACATTTTCAAGCAAACCAAATTCCAGAAGCTGATATGTTGAAAGAGGCAGTGAAGGGGTTGAGAGGTGCTCTCAGCTGGTACAAACGTTGGAGTGTGCTCAGTCCCAATATAAATTGGCAGAGCTTTGATAGAGCGTTTATAGGAAGGTATATACCTGAGATTTTCATAATAGATGAAGTTGAAGTATCGAAAAATTCAGAAAAAAAGAAGAAGAAAAAGAAACAGCAAACGAAATCAAAGTTGGAAAAAAAAGATACGAAACAGAAAAAAAAATTGGAGAAGAAAAAGAAGATCAAGAAAAGAAAGCAGAAAAAAAAAAGAAGAAAAATGGGCCAGAATTAGTGGATCAGTTCAAATGGATACAATATGTGTGGGATTTTTCTTTATGGCTGAAACACACTAAAGTTAATGGAGCCTCCAAAAGACTTTGTTCTATGGGCAGAAATGCAATTAAAAATAGAACACTATGCTTCAAGCAATGGGACCCAGGTGGATGTTCAATTACATCCCCTGTCATCTTCCTCACCTTGAGGACAAGGTGAATTTTGAAGGGGGAGTATTGATGGGCTAGGATTAGTGGGCCCAAGTTTAGCAATGCAAAATTAGTTAGTTAGCTAGTTTGTTAGGGAAATTATTCTAGAATATTCCTAAATAATAGGATATAAGGAGGGGGTGTGGGAGTGTGAGGTATTCATGTATTCAGAATTGGTTAGTGGGAATTTGAGAGACATCTAGGGAACTCTTCAGCCTAGGTATTTGGTTGGAGGGAGAGTTGAGGCATTCTCTGGGTTTATTTTCTGCAATTTATCCTTGTAAGGAGCTTGTCTCCATTTATATTTCTGCAATTTCTTATGAATAATATTAGGTTCCATCACATACCCTCTACATCTATTGCTATTCCTGATCTCGATAAAGAGGGAAAGAAATAACTTCTGCATATTTTAGTATTTTTCTTCTCCATAGTTGGTAATGGTTTTGTCCAATCTTATCTCCAGCAAATATTCCCAGTTCTCAGAAATTAGGGATTGTTCTTCAAGAGACGATTCTCTGGAAGAATATGGAGGATATCAGATTAAGAGAAATGAAAGAAAAATAACATTTCAGACATTGTATCGATGTCAAACATTTTTCCATATATATATATATATATATATATATATATATATATATCATAGAATCATAGACAAGTGAGCATCTCATGGATAACCATGTTTCTGCCATTTTAGCTGCTGAGTTACAAAGTCACATTAGATATCCACCTAGTGAACATGGCAAAACCTTCATCAGGCTTGTACTCAGGAGCTGTATGTCCTGAACCCTGCATATAAGTACACAAAAATTGAATTTGCACAATCCCCCAAAAGAAACTTAAATCTTTCACCACACTTTGTATTTTTCTTTAAAAAAAAAAAAAAAAAAGAGAGTAAATTACATTCTCCTCTCTTGAGAAATGCTTAAGTACACTGCCTTCCTCTATATTTTGAAAAATTATACTCCCCTCTCTTTAGAGATGAAATGTGCTACTGGAGAGCAACTAAAAATAAGCCTTCTAGGGATTTTTCCTCTCTCTACAACCCTCATATCACCGACAACTAATTTTGAACACTATATACCCTTGCTAGTTAGGAATATTAATAGGGAGTGATTTTACTATTTACTTCGCAACTTAGAAGATGAAATAAAGCTTTAAATACCCCTACTTGTCACCTGAAATTTTCATTTCATAATCTAAAGCCCCAATGTGAATTGTAGGGACTTAACACTAGCCACGACCACGAGTCACGGAGAGAGAAAAATGCCTCTAAGAGGTTTGTTCACATTAAAATGGACTAAAGTGTAGAACATATTAATATTTCAGGGGAGGGAGTTGTAGTTTCACAAAACAGAGGAGATGGAAGTGTAATTTAAATATCTCAGGGGTGGGAATGCATTTTACTTGAGTAAAAAAAAACGCATTTGTGATTTAAAAAATTGAATGGTCTAACCTTCACAGTTGCAAATGTCATTTGATTCGAGTAAGTCCTTGTATATCTGCTTGAAAGGCAAATTATTCATAAAGATTTGGTTACATGCTGTCTTAGAGAGTTCTTGGTAGGAAATGAGAAGTATAAAAAAGAAATAATGGTAAATTAGGATTAAAGATTTGAATTTCTTAATACTTCATAGTGAGTGGAAAATAAGAATACGGTGCATCTCTTTCTCTAACAATTTTTATTTTTTCCCAGTAATATGTACAGGTAAAGATCTGATTATTCTAATTTCAAGGGTAACAACTAACAAGTAAACAGTTACGAATTTTTTTTAATTTCTCTATTGATACATCAATTACCCAACACCCATATAGTGGATATGGCTCTCCCAAGGTAATTTTCTCCATTTCTAAGGCTTTAATTGGAGAAAATAGTCTTGGGAGAGTCATGCCCTCTACATGAATCGATCCTTATTCGAATTGAATTAGTCCAATAATGATAACCTGTTGAGAAATAAAAAATAAATAAATAACTGTATACTTGTTACCCTTGAAATATAACATATCAAGGATTAAGTTCTATGCCTACCCTGCAACTTGGCCATTAACAAGCCATGGCCTCCAATCATCCACAATGGAGTAGTTTAGATCCCTTATCCACGCTTGGGTTGCAATGAACGGAACAACTACATCATGATCCCCACTGTAAACAAAAAATCATTTGCCATATGAAATCAGCTAGTCGTTAATGGCCCTGAGAAAGCTAAAAGAAAAACACTTACAAATGAGCACAAAACCATATTCGAGAGAAATAAAAAATAATTTAGAATGTGAAAATCTTGACCTGTATATCAAGGAGCGGTACCCTTTTGCACTGAGATTTACATGAAACTCAAAGCTACTAGAAATGTCATGATCAAAATCAGTAGTGTAACAACGTTGCCATTTCCCTATAGTTCCCTGCAGTACATTTGAGTTAAGTACCATTAATATGTATCATAACCATTAACTGCTAAGGCTTCTTTGGTCTATGTTTGACTCAAATTTAAAGTAGAATCACTTGTTATTGAACATAGACTTAACTACATGTAGTTGAACATGATGTTTGTATAGATTTGTTATATCAAACCTCTTGAATATGCAGTGACCTGCGAACACTTTCATCATTGGCCCATTGAGTGGCAAGGAAAAAACCATAAATCTACAATAATGAAATTGGGAAATATTAAAATTTTGAACATTATGGACAAAAGTGTGATGTTGTTAGAGATATATAAAAACCATTAATGTAGCCTCACCCCACGAGCTTAAGTTTTTGGGTTGAATTGGTTCTTTACATAGTATCAGAACCTCGGTGTCACGGGTTCGATCCTCACCGCCCCTACTTTCTCTTGTGGAATTTCTTAGCACAGGTAGGTGGACCTGTGTATTATCTACCCTTTAAGCCTAGTGAGATCTCGTATTAGGGGATGTGTTAGAGATATATAAAAACTATTATTATAGCTTCACCCCACCAGCTTAAGCTTTTGGTTGAATTAGTTCTTTACAAATATATATAATATATGCAAAATTACTTGGCAGCTTAATTCTGGCACAGTGAGATGAGGACTAAGAGAGGCCTTCAACTTCTTAGTCAGAGATCTCCTCCACAGAGCTTCTTCATGATCCTTAAGTGCATCATCATCTATGCAATAGCTATCCAAAATGTTAAACATATTAATTCCTGAAAGGCACTGAAGATAAGAAATATTATTTTACCAATATGGTGAACAAACTCAACTGAACTGAATAACGAGTAAAAATGATGATCATAATAAAAATGGGATGGTAAGTACTTGCCTCCTCAAAAGAGCGGTAATCTATTAAACACAATTCGGAATCTATATCTTCATATTCTCCTTTACAATTTCTCTGCAGTGACTGTCAATGGATGGTACACGATCAAGAATCATTGGCATTTCAATTAAAAATTATTTTTAAAATGAAATGGAAATAAATTGTATTTATTTGCTTAATTTTTTTGCAAAGAAAAACAATCTCAAATATACAAGGTACCCTCCCTTAGCCGACCCAATTAGTTTGAGATAAACATAATATTAGTGTTGATGTTAAACTAGACATAAATTGTTGATATCACTATAAAGAAATATACAGCATATTGAAAAATGTAAAATAAAGAATTTTTTGAATTGATACAATTGATTTAAACAGATAGGAGGTATTTATACAAGTATAAATGAAGGAAAAGATAAATAAGAATGACTCGGCAATGAGTCGTTAGTCCTATCCTATCATGACTCAGCAAATTCAAAATTTTAAATTAAGAAAAAAATAATCACTAATTTCCTACACTCCCCCTCAAGTTGGGAGGTAAAAGTTGATCATTCCCAACTTGCCAATCAGGTCTTCAAAGGCTGGCCGATAAAGGCCCTTGGTGAGGATATTTGTTGTCTATTCTTTGGTAGGAATATACACCATACACACACTTCTATCATCTAGTTTTTCTTTGATAAATTGGCGATCAACTTCCACGTGCTTTGTTCGATCATGGTGAACTGGATTTTGAGCGATGCTAACAGTTGCCTTGTCACAATATAGCTTTATTGGTCGGGAATATAAGATCTTCAACTCTTCAAGGAGTCTTCTCAACCAGATTCCCTCACAAACTCCATGAACTAAATCTCAAAATTCTGCTTCAACACTACTTGCGACAACCGTTTGTTTTTTGCTTCTCCAAGTTACAAGATTTCCCCACACATAGGTGCAATAGCCTGAGGTTGATCTCCTATCCACTAATTAACCTACCCAATTTGCATTGTACATTTCAATTGTCCTATTATACCCCTTTCTAAAGAATAATCCTTCGCCTGAAGGGTTCTTGAGGTATCTAAGCACCCCATAGACTGCACATAAATGTTTCTCCTCGGATAAGTGCATGAATTGACTAATCATACTCACCGCAAAGGCAACGTCAGGTCGCGTGTGGGATAAGTAAATTAGTTTACCGATCAATCTCTGACATTGCTCTTTATCCACTTTGTTCCCATCTTTAATACCTAACTTGGTATTAGGTTCCACAGGTGCCTCAGCAGGCTTACATCCTAACATTCATGTTTCCAACAAAAGATCTAAAACATACTTCTTTTGTGTGAGAGTGATGCCTGTTTTTCTCCTAGCAACTTTCATACCAAGGAAATATTTGAGAGTTCTAAGGTCCTTCAGTTCGAACTGAGTGGCTAGATACTTCTTCAAGGAGTTCAATTCCTCACTATCGTCACTTGTAAGAACTATATCATCCATGTACACAATAATAATAGCAATCTTACCATCCTTAGAGTGTTTATGGAAGAGAGTATGATCAGTCTGTGCTTGAATGAAGCCTCTTCCTTTGACAGCTTGTGTGAATTTGTCAAACCATTCTCTAGGAGACTTTTTTTGTTTACACACTGATCCATCTCCCTTTTTAAAGCCAGGTGGAGGATCCATATAGACCTCTTCATGTAAATCACCATTTAGGAACGCATTTTTCACATCTAACTATTGCAGAGGCCAATCTAGGTTGGCAACAAGTGATAAGAGAACTCGGATGGTATTGACCTTAGCAACTGGAGCAAAAGTCTTATGATAATATATCCCATGAGTCTGGGTGAACCTCTTCGCAACCAATCTTGCCTTGCCTTGTATCTGTTGATGCTATTATCTACATTGAATTTTATTGTAAACACCTATTTGCATCCTACTGCCTGTTTTCCCTTTGGTAGGGTCACTGTCTCCCAAGTTCCATTTCTTTATAGAGCATTCATTTCTTCAAAGACAACATCCCTCCATTTTGGATCATTGAGAGCCTCATGTATATTTCTCGATATCATTGTACTGTCCAACATAGTATTGAAAGCACGGAACCCTAAGGACAACTTTTCATATGAAATATGATTAGAAATAGGATGAGTAGTACAAGATCGAGTACCTTTTCTGATAGCAATGGGCAAGTGTAGATCATTTTTGTCATGGCACTCAAGTGTCAGGGTACTGGAACTAGAACTTGGTTCAGAATCCTGGCAGTGCAGAGGCTTTGAGTTATTCACACTTTGAGGAGGCTTTCGCTTGCTATAAACTTGTCCCCACTTTGAGGAGGCTCCTGATGGTGAGGATTCTATAGCTCCCCATGTTTCCAATAGCTGAGGTAATATTGTGGCATCAGTGGATTTCCATGACTGATCTTCATCTGCTCCTATAAACTCCGCCTGAAGAGAAGTCAGGGGAAAAAAAGGTTGAGTATCAGAAAAGCTGACATTCATAGAGACAAAGACCTTACGAAGAGAGGGTGAATAACATTTATAGCCACATTGAGTAGCCAATGAAGACACACCGGAGAGACTTAGGCTCAAGCTTGAACCATTGATGAGAGGGAATATGGACAAATACAACACAACCAAATAGTTTGGGAGATAGGGAGGAGATGCCTCAGAAGGAAGGGAAGGTGCGGAAAAGGCTAGAAAGAGGAGACGGAAAGTTGAGAGTGCAAGATGGCATTCGATTGATAAGGTACGAGGCAATGAGAACAGCTTCCCCCAAAAGGTATTTAGGGACACTCATAGTGAAATAAGAGCCCGAGCACCTTCAAGGAGATGTCGATTTTTTCTCTCAGCAACTCCATTTTGTTGGGGTGTGTCATGGCACGAGCTTTGGTGAAGGATGCCATATTGGGAGAGATGTTCTCCAATAATAAAGTTAAAATACTCTTTGCCATTATCTGTAAATAGAATTTGTATAGCAACTTGGAATTAGGTTTGAACCAATGGCATGGAAATTTTTAAAAATGAATACAGCATCTGACTTGTCCTTTATAAGGTATACCCAACAAACTCGGGAGTGGTCGTCAATGAAGGTAATGAACCATCGAGCACTTGAAATATCCTTTACACGGGCTAGACCCTATATGTCACTGTGAATTAAAGAAAATGGGGAAGAGTCATAGCGAGCTTTAGAAGGATAATAAACACGAGTGTGCTTGGCAAGTTGACAAATATCACAAGAAAACAAACTAGGACTTTTATTAATAAATAAGTTTAGTAACAACTTCTGAAGATAAGTAAAATTGGGATGGCCTAGCTTACGGTGCCACAACATAACATCATTACATGAATCAAAAGGAAACGTAGTCATTTTTCCACAAAAAAAAGCTTCATGAGTCACATCCTCCTCAAAGTAGTAAAGTTCGCCATCCTCTCTAGCACTGCCAATCATCCTCTCTGAGTTCTGTTCCTGAAAAACACAACCATGGGGAAAGAATTTAGCAAAACAACATAACTCAGAAGTCAGCTTGCTAATGGAAATGAGATTGCAAGCCAAAGAAGGAATATGAAGAACTAATGTTAAATTAATCTGCTCGGAGAGTTTAATGGTTCTGTGTCCTGCAATCTGGGAGAAACTGTCATCGGCGATCTTGACTTGAGAAGGTTGAGAGCATGGAGTGTAAGAGCAAAACAAGGTCGTATTACTTGTCATATGGTCAGAGGCTCCAGAATCAAGGATCCAACGAGTTTGACTATACATGGAAGACTGTACTTGCTGGGCCACATTGCTAGTGGCCTTAGTAGGTTGAGTCAGAAGCCTCTGAAGTTGCTCGAATTGAGTTTTGCTGAGAAACACACCATCAGACTCAGCAGAGGCACGAGGCTTATTACCCTGTCAATAGTAGAGACCTTATACGCACGACCTTTATTCTGCCCTTTTGGCTTCAAATTTGCATGTTTTTCGTGGATTTCCCAACACCTCTCACGGGTATGACCAACTTTATTACAACGGGTGCACCACGGATGACCATCCCGTTTTGATTCTCCAGAGGAATGATCAATAGTATGTTTAGCAACCAATCCAGACATATCAACAGACTTATCAATTGATTCTTTTTCTCCCAGCATAACTCTCTATTTACTAGCTTCTCTTCGAACCTCAGCAAAGGCATCAGCAATTGAGGGCAACGGTCGCTGACCCAATATTCGACCACGAACCTCATCAAGATGCAGTTAAGGCCAGCAAGAAATTTCATAAAGTCATTCCTTCGCTAAGTGTGTTTAAAACTAGGCATTAGCTTCCAATCCTTTGAGATCGGATGCATAATGAAGATCCAGTTCCTGCCACAAATTTGTTAATGCAGTGAAATATTCAATAATGGTCATATCTCCTTGACACAGGTCCTTCAATTTATTTTTTAGTTCAAAAACTTGAGAGATATTCTCCAAATCAGAATAATTTTGCTGAACAACATCCCAAATCTCCTTGGCGGTATCGAGAAACAAATAGGTTCGGCTGATCTGGGGTTCCATGGAATTGGTCAGCCATGCCAATACCAAGGAGTTATTAATCTTGCAATTTTCATAAACAGAGCATCCTCAACATGTTTTTTTATCTTCTCGTCGAGATAACCTATCTTACCATTTGCCCGGATGACCAACTTAACATATTGGAACCATTACAGGAAATTCTTACCGTTCAATCGGTGACTAGTAATCTGCATGGCTAAGTTGTCTCCAGAGGACTGAGAATTTGGGGCAGATAAGGAAGCGGAAGAACGATCCAAGGAAGCCATGAATAAAGAGAGAAGGTTTGACCGTGGACGCGAAAATCAAGTTGCTTCGTTTTTAGATCTGACCACTGGAATAGGTAGAGGAGGAGCCGACGAGATGATCTAAGCAAGTCGCGGCGAAAAAAAATTTCGGGAAGGTGGTGCGTGGGCTACATGCGTCAGAGAGTGGCCGATCATATGGTTGCGCGTGGAGGAGCGTGGGAAGTCCGACGGCGATGGGTCTGGCGGTGTTCGACTCGTCGGAACATTCTGAGTTGAATGGTCACTCCACCTTCTCGATTGGAAGTCTATAGGTATGGTTTCTAGGTTTGGACAGAGGTTGGTTTGTGTTTGGATTTTTTTTTATGGTGTTTGGACTGGTTTCAGCCTTGAGGATGGCTGATCTAGGGTAGGAACGAACCCGCTCCTGATACCATATTGAAAAATGTGAAATAAAGAATTTTTGAATTGATGAAATTGATTTACACAAATAGGATGTATTAATACAAGTATAAATGAACGAAAAGATAGCTAAGAATGACTCAGCAATGAGTCGTTAGTCCTATCCTATCATGACTCAGCAAATTCAAAATTTCAAATTGAGAAAAAAAATCAATTCTAATTTCCTACACAATAGACCCAACTATTTTCATGCAAAATTCTAGTACCAACACATCATCACCCTTTACCAACTTTATAAGAAAATACAATGAAAGTAGCTTTACTAAACAGGAAAAAAATAATACTATTACCTCATAGAGTTCATCAGAAATAAGTCCCATTCCATGGGCAAATGGGATTTGATAATTTTTCTCTCTTAGTGTTGTTATGGGGTTCCCTAGTAGATATCCCTGAAAATATTAAGACTTCGGCTTCATAGTCCTTATAAGAAGAGCTATTGTTGGCCCTACAACTTTAAAAAGGATAAAAACTTGCTACTACAAGTAAAGAACCAAATAACTTGCTAATACATGTAAAGAACCAATTAACTTATTTTTTTTAATTTTATTAGAGAACGGGAAACAGGAAATGTAATACATCCAATTCAACCAAACAACTTAAGTTTGTAAGTGATGTCCGTGAATTTATATTAATATTTTTGGCAATACACTTGATGGCTCTGAATATTGGATTCAGGTATTGAAACCCACTTTATACATTTTTTTCGTCCGGACTAAAAGCATAGTTAGAGGTATTCATTGCAAACCTGGAGATTTATCCATGGCCGGAGACCTTTTTCATTTGCTGTTGATCAAGGAAATTGAAGAATAACAAGCGTTATCATAATTATGTATATGTTAAACTGTTTATATGTTAGCTACAAGTAGAATGATCTAGTTTGTATGCTTCTATAAAAGAAATCTTGTGAAAGCTATGTATAAATTTGTAAATTGTATTTAATGCTTTTTTTTTATATATTTAGAGGACGCCAAACGAAATCAAATTTTTAAACAAGTTCAACAATTAATTTAACACAACATATAGTTCAGTATGAAGAAAATAAAAATAAGAATATGAAAATTTTAGATTACTTTACTATATATATATATATATATATATATATATATATATAGATATATAGTAAAGTAATTAAGGAAATGATTTGGGTCTAATGAGAGAACTAAGTTGGATAAACACATCTAATCGTAATCTTGACTTGTTAATTTGTGTTGCTAACTTCTACAGCCCAAAGGAGAAAGCAAATAAATAGTGTATTAGTGTAGGACTGATTAAAATGATTAAGAAACCCCTATGGCCTCATTTTCATTATAAATATAAAGCCATTAGCTATTACCTGAATAACATATTCATCTTATAAATTGAGCCATTTAAAATTTCATACCATTTGAAATTTCTTGAACAATAGCGGGGGCAGGAATGCCAGAGTATGAATCAGCTCCAACGTAGAATTTATTTGAAAGAAATTCCGAGTGATCAATCAGCCACTAAAAAGATTAAGAGATAAATAATAAAATAATCAAAATTACATAGCTTGTTTTCAGGTATAACTAGGAGATTGATTCTCCAAAGTAAACTACAAACAAAAAGAAAAAGAAAGATGGTGTGCGAAATATGATGACAGTGACAGCACAAAATAGATGGATATGGCAAAATTGCTGGCACAAAATTGATGGGTATATGATGAAATTGATGGCACGAAAAAGCATAGTGACGATACCTTCCTAAGAAATTGATGTGTATGGTGAACTGATTTCCAGTCACTTCGATGAGCAGTGATATTTTTGGCATAAGAGAATCCAGTTCCAAGTGGCAAATCTACAAAAATAATGCTACATACCTGGGCAAAAAAACATTAGCATTATAAGCACTGAATTGCCTTCCAATAACAAAATAATAAAAAGATTGATAGTTACTATTTATACAGTCATCTAAACACAGATTATACACAAATTACAACCACTTGCTTAATATAAGTAGTAATTTCTACTACAAATTTTGGATTAACTTCAATAAACGAAATCAATGTCAAATTCTTGAGGTTGCATTCTGTACCTTTGTCCAGGACTGTGGTCTCAAGACCAAATTAGGAAGGCTACCTTTGTACTCCTCAGTTTTAAATGCAAGTGGACCTATTACACCCAATTCAAGACAAAAGTCATTCTGTGAGAGTTGTTGAGTGGATCACTTTCAGTAGGACAAATTCTAGTGAAACCTCAACCAAAACATTAAAATAGTGAAAGAACAATATTGGTTTGTCCACATTTTGCTGCAAATGATTCTCATAATGCAAAATCATATGCCAAATGGGCTATAATATGATTGTCCTTGAAGAGGACAAGCTTGGGAGTGTCTTACCCTAACAACAGGATTCATGCACTTGAAATTATACTTCCAGTTTACATGATCATATTCCTTGTTGTGATATATATATTCACATCCAGATATCCATTAACAAACTTGCAAAAAGAGATTCATGAATAGAAAGTTGAAATTTGAAAATTACCTATTTGAAAGGCAAGACCAGAAAATGAAGAGCAGCCAGGGCCACCAGTTAGCCAAAGCATAAGAGGGTCTTTCTCAGGGTTGTTCTCTGACTTAATAAAGTAGTAGAACACTTGCATGTCGTCATCTCTTTCCCCTAATCCCACATACCTGTGAAATGCTCACAAACATGATAAAACTAAATATGCTCAAGAACACGGAAAAAAAAAAAAGTAGCTTAAATTACATAGTACACACTACCATTTCTCTTTCTTATGTCCTACTTGCATAGTTTCACTTATAAAAGTAGGAAATATGGTGTGTTTTGGATTTTATTTTTTTCTTTTCAGGAGCTGCTTTAAAAAGAAATTGCTTGTGTTTTGAGTGTCAATTTAAAAAAATAAAATAAAGTAAAACTAAAATTCATTTTTAGATAATTTTTAATTTTGAAAAAAATCAAATACTATTGTTTTATTTAAATTTGTTTTTTAATATTGATTCAAACGAAAAATAATTCTAATTTTTTTATAAAAAAAAAGTGTTTTTTTTTCCTTCAAAAACCTAGATCATAACGAGCTTAAGATGAATGGAAACAATCATTACAAAAAAAACACACACACAATTAAGTTGACCAATTAAAAACTCAATATCTTGAAACAAAAAAGCAGCTAGAAATGGGAATAGAGTGGTATTACTAACCCAGTTTCGAGTTCAAAGGGAAGAGGTCCTTGAAAGCCAGGAAGCAGTTCCACCTTTGAGCGAGAGGCTTCAAGCTGAGAAAATATCTGTAAGAAAATTGCAAAAGCAAGTAGAATCTGACAATAGCGATAACAATTTGAAATTATATCCATCCTGCAATATTCACTTTCTTGTGTTCTGTATCTCTGAATTTATATCAACATATCATGTTGTTGTGGTTGTTGTTAACGAAAAAATTTTCGGTTGAGCACGAGCACATTCTCCTTTACCAAAAAAAGATAAAAAGTGAAGACTGAAAGGGAAATAAGAAAAATAATTGGATCGAAATGAAATAAATTTTTACTTATGTAGAAAAGGAGACCACCCAGGTGTACAGTGCCGGAACACTTAAAAAGAATCCGTTATTAGACTTGTTGGGAAGGTCGCTGGTTTTATCGCGCGCGAGAGTTGAACACGAATGCACGAGGATCGAGTTGAACCTGTCACTTTGTCAGTGTCGACTACAATAATGGCATATACTAAAACACGATAAGAGAGCGATTATATTTCTACACGTATTATCGTTGGAGAATATGTTATTCTTATTATATGGGATAAAAGGTCCAAATATATATATATATATATATATATATATATATATATATATATATATTTTATTAATCTCATGTTAAAAGAGATAAGTTATCTCATGTCATAGAGACAAATTTGTAGGCTCTACCATCTGGAAAAAAAAATGACACAGTTATCGAAGGATGTGTAGGAGAGAAAGTTATCACATGTAACATAAGAGTAGTTTTTTCCTATATATATATAAGGAGAGAAAGTTATCACATGTAACATAATAGTATTTTTTTTCTATATATATATATATATATATATATATATATATATATATATATATATAGGAAAAAAATACTCTTATGTTACATGTGATAACTTTCTCTCTTACACATCTTTCGATAACTGTGTCATTTTTTTTCTTTTTCTTTTTCAGATGGTGGAGCTCACAAATTTATCTCTATAACATGAGATAACTTATCTCCTTTAACATGAGATTAATAAAATCCATATATATATTATTTTTTATTAATGTATTTATAAATGTATAAGGTGTGACCTCATGGAGAGATACACGGGGCGTGTTTTAGGGAGATAATGGCGTGTTTTAGGGAGAGACATGCCTCACATGAGGTATATTTTACCAGATGCTAACATGTGGCACAAAATTTTGGAGGTTTATAATTTTTGATTCGGGTGTCCGAATTAGGTAAAATAAAAATTGATTCTACATAACTTTTCAAGATCTATACAATGACACCTCATTTGACATATTTTATCACTCACAAAAAAGTTCAAATTTACAACAATGATACTATAAGAATGTTTAAACCCAGATTAATTAAGAGAAAATCACTGTCGTGATTAGAAACATTCCTTATTAAAGATCCTTATGATTATGGTACTGATGCACTTACAGTTAGCCCATTTTACATGGTCCAACCATTGATTCAAGAAGCTCGTAGTCAATTAGAGTTGTGGCCCAATAAGTATGACCCAATTGTTGAAAGAGACAATGATTTGAAATATAACAAATTACAATCGAATCCAAGTCCCAGTAAAGCAGTAGATGTGATTGTGATTTGTTTGGAAAGAAAAGGAAAGCAACATATTTGGCGTGATTTTAGATTAAAGATTTGAGATGTATTTTGAATTATTTATTTGTAATTTTTTATTTATTTTTAGATGTTAATTACTATTATATTTATTTTAAGAAGTTTTATTATTTTTAGAATTTTAGATTTTGAATTTTGAATTAATTTGTAATTAGTCTATAAAAGGGTGCTTATGACCCTTATTATAGGAGTTGAATTTTGTTATTTGATAATTAAAATTGAGAACCGGAGGGTTACTCTTTTATCGTATCTCAACTTTTTGTTTAGCCAGTTTTCTATGTGCTTTCGGTATCATTTGGTATAATAATGCTGAAGCAGTAACCACTTGGCTAAACAAAAAATAAGCACGAACATAAGGAGTGTGAGAAGATACTATTCCTCTTTTTTAATTTTATTTAACCAAAAATAACTTAATAAAAATAGAGCTCTCCAAGCCTTAAATAGGCAAAAATAAAATAACAAATTTACAAAAAAAAATAAAAAATAAAAAATAAAATAACAAACAAAGTAAATAACTATAATCATGCGCAATCAAAGGAGATAACGCACAATCAACGCACACTAAAACATAATCTAAAATAACAAAAAGGAAATAACTTGCAATTATTAAAATTCCCTAAATAAAGAAATAAATAATGGAAAAGTCCAATCCAAGCGAGTCAGCTCGGGTGCATCATTCTCTCCCACTTGAAAAAGATTCGCCCTCGAATCTGCTTCGTCTTCATTAATATGAACTTCTTCACGTGGTAACCCAGGTGACAACTTTTCTGGTACAATATCACGAAATTTCCTAATTAAGATTAGGACTTGGAAATGCAATTCTTTGATATGCTTGGTATATTCATTTGTAGTTTGGATCAATGATCGCATCTGTGATCTGTCATAGGAAAATTTCGTCTGATGTAACAGCAATTCCCATTGCCCCTGACAATCTCAAATTAAACTTTTACCAAAAGTTAAATCTTTATCTCCATGGAGCATGAGGTTGTTATGCTCGTTGTCCCCAAGTTCGTAATACTGGGGTAGAATTTCATCTTTGTCAGAGATATTAGAATTTCTAATAACTGACTTTCCACCGAAATCACTATAAGAGATTTCTTCCACCTCTGGATTCTCATTGCCTTTCTCCCAATCATACTTATCATAGATAGGGAACTCGTCATAAACTGGAACATCCATAATAGGATTTTCATCATCTTGCTCTTCATCATATTCATCATAGATCAGGACCTTCTGGTCTTTTGTCAAGTCTTTGATGTCAAAGACCCTTTTGACAGTGTGTGACCCGTCGATAAACTCATCTGTATGAGTGGTGCCCTCGAATTCTGGGATCTCAATTTTCACCCCCAATATTAGCAAAAAAGGATTGATTTCAAGGTTGACTTCGTCCTCGTCGCTCCTGGTTCCAGTTTCAGAATGGGTTTTCGCTCATTTCCTCCTCATGAGATGATCTTTCAGATTCCCGTCCTTCATCTGACTTGTCCAACTGTGTTTGGGCAAACAGTTGTTCGAGCTCCTGAATTCGCCTACCATGTTCTGCCACTGTAGCAGCCATTACTAAAATTATGGTGTGTCGCACGTCAATGTGTGGTTGTTCGCCGTTTCCATAAAGGGTGTTACCACGCCCTCTACAGTTGCCGTCGCCTCGACCTCGACCTCAACCGCCATTGTACTGTTCAGCCATTTAAGTGACAAACAGAGCTCTGATTACCAAATAATGCTGAAGCAGTAACCAATTGGCTAAACAGAAATAAGCACGAACATAAGGAGTGTGAGAAAATACTATTCCTCTTTTTTTAATTTTATTTAACCAAAATAACCTAATAACAATAGGGTTCTCCAAGCCTTAAATAGGAAAAAATAAAATAACAAAAAAGTAAATAACTATAATCATGCGCAATCAAAGGAGATAACGCACAATCGACGCACACTCAAACATAATCTAAAATAACAAAAAGGAAATAACTAGCAATTATTAAAATTCCCTAAATAAAGAAATAAATAATGAAAAAGCACAATCCAAGCGAGTCAGCTCGGCTGCATCAGGTACCATTGTTGCAAATTGAAATTATATTTATTGGAGACAAAATTGGTGGGTATATGAGCATGAAACTTCGTAAATTGTCCAGGTACTAAATGTAATTGGGAATCCCCCCAAATACTCAAAATGCAGCCATGTGCTGTCCATTTTGTTTCTAACCAATGTGGTAGGTGATTATCATGCTTGGGTAGTTAATTACCATCACTTATATGGCTTGTAAAGTCTCAAGTGTTAAAGATGTGATAACTCTCCCAAATGAGAGCTAATTTGGTATTTTTATGATGAATTTGCTGTATAAATTCCATATAAGTTGTCTTGTTTGCATGATAATTGAGCTAATTGTTGCATATTTATGATTAAGTGCTTTGAGATGACTAAGTAAGGAAAATAAGACAATATTCCTTGATTTTGTATAAGAAAAGATGACTTGTTGAATGTTTGTCTTTACAGGAAAAATTGACGTTTGAATGTTGTAGTAGAGAAGCTAGTGAAGTAATGATATAGCAATCGATACAGCATGACAGCGTGGACAAGGGAACAACTGAATTTTCAAAATTTAAAAGTTAGTTATTCCCCAATAAGTTGATAAAACACAAGCAAGCAAGGATCATGGACGCTCTTGAAGATTGATTCTTATCCCAAAATCCCAAAGAACAAGAACAACAAACTCATATTCAGTCAACAATATTGGCACAAGAAATTCAAGAAGATCAAGATCTTATCCAATCAAGTGCCAACAGGCCAAGAAAATAGGGATAAGATAAGGCTGCAGCAACACGATTCATGGAATCTCACTCCCAAAACCTAAGGGCGAATTATCCAACCATTTTTCCTATAAAAAGAGGAGTCCCCCACAGATTCAAGAGGTTGGAAAAAAAGCAAGAAAGAAGTCAAGAAGTCAGAGGAAGCGAAGTCAAGTCAGAATGGTCGTATTAGACAGAGAAAGTGAGATTCTTGGAGAAGGAAGAGCTGCTGGAGCAAGACTGTGACAGAGTTTTACAACAGCATTCGTTTTCGTCTTCTTTTCTGTTTTCTAATGAGTTTTTTTTCCTTTTCTCAGTTTTATTTAATTCCATTATGAGCTAATTTGCTCTATAGGTTAGGTGATAAAGTACATATGTTGTAACACTGAGATATATGCCTAAACTTTGTTTTTATTAATGTTTAATTAGTTTTTCAACGAGTTTGCTTATTCTTATTCATGTATGTATGTCGAGAGATACATATATGATATTGAGGAGGTTGGGGCCGAGAGGTTTCCGAATCCAGACCCTTGTTGAATTGTGTGGATTAATTAGGTTAAGAATAACTTGATTAAGTTGTGGGTAGAGAGATCATTCACACCACATAACCTTTGAACTTGAACTTTAACAATTAAGTAATTAGTTTGGCCATAGAATGTGCGAATTAGTTATTGGGTATATATGTCAGGTTGGCCAAAAGCCCCAGCATACCTTAGTGTTCGGTTACTAATTAAACATTGATAGATCATTGTTATAGCATCGTTTCAGTATTGCTGTATCAGAAAAATTGAACCTGACCTATATCTCATCCATCACCTTAATACCTTTAAATTTAGTTTATTGTTTTCTTAATTTTAATTGTTTTTTATTTTATAAATCCAATCATCAAAATCAATCTTTTTCCTAATTTCTTTACTTAAATAGTTCACGCTTTATACTTATCTCCGTGGGAACGATACTTGGACTCACACATCCCTTTATTACTTGTCACACGAGCACTTGCGTATTTGTGTGGTAAATTTAATTGATTACAAATTGCACAACATGATGTGAGGTATAAGAATGTATAATATAGTGTAAGTAAATATGAAATAAATGGTGTGTATGGCAATATCTAAGAATTAGTTCACATAATTAAATAAGAGTAATTATGATACTTATATATGTAATTTTTGCTTTATTAATTAATTAATTATATTGTGCTTAATATCATTTATAATGATAATACACCGGTTGCAAATAGGGTGTTACATATTATGTTATCAAAACACTTTCTAGAAAAATTCCTTGATGTATTGCTAGATGTAGGATGCTTTATGAGTTATTTTTGGGATTTATTATGATAATGCATGTGTGATCACTAAGTGTAGGCCTGATCAACTCATTCCTTTGGATGTGGATTTGTTATCCATGCAATGTTAGTCACCAAAGGGGTTGGTTCAAGTGGTACATGCTTGATTCCGCTTAAGCAAAGTCTTGTATTCTTTGGGAGAGCTAACTATACCATAATATGGATGTTCCCAATTCAAAGAAAATTGTCTCATGTAAAGGATATTTGTGGTTTATAAAAAAATAAAAAAGGTTGTATTAGCCACAGATGTAGACCCCAAATTCGGCTGTGTTTTGTAATTTACTTGAGTAACTCACTCGATAAAAAAATTCTTCTTAATCGTGTAAGATGTGACTGAGTGGACTGGAAAATGCTGTCTTTCATGGTTAATATAAAGTAAGGAAAAATGTGTATCATTTTAAAGGATGTAAAGTTGTGTCATTTTAAGTAAGAGAAATAGATAAAAAAGAGAGGAGAAAGAATGGTCAAAAAAATATAAGGTGTGGGTCCCACCTCTTTGTGAGAGTGAAAGGATATAAGTTGTGTAATTTAAAAGAATAAACACTTTTATCATAAAATAATTGTGTAATAAACCTATAAATAATGATAATTGGCAGAAACCAAAGGATTGAACTTTCATTCAAATGTATTATTGTCCAAATAACACTCATTGTAGAAGTGTCGGAAACCAATCCTTAGGGGGCGTTTGGTTGAGGAGAAATTTTTTGAATACTAGAGAAATGTAATTGATAGGGAAATGGTTGGAAAGTGAGTTTGGTAGAAAAATGTAAAAAAAGTTGTTTGGTTGGAAAAAAATTTACCGGGAAATTTTGGTAAATATTATAAAGTCTATGATTGGTTTGAGTTAAAATATTGATGGAAAAATGAGTTGCAATTACCAAAATACCCCTTATTTTTAATTTTTTGAATCTCATCATGTGGTGTCTATGTTTGATTGTGTGAACAGTACTCTCATTCAGTGTCATAAATCTATCAGAAATTGCCACATCATTTTAGACTATTCAAACCTCTAGAAATTGCCTCTGTGTTCATCGCACTCTGCTTCCAGTTATGGTAAAGGATGAAGGTAGCTTTATAAGAGGGTAATTGTGGTAGCTATGGTGCAAATTTTTTTTCATTTACCTAGCTTTTGTGAAATACCAGCCTGGAAGTGGAATTTGAGTACCATGCATTTTATCAGATTTTGCAAACAATTATCAATGGCTAGGCAAATCACTTTGCTAGGAAAAATTTTTAATACCATGTACCAAACATGGACAATCCCAAATGTCAATCTCATATACCTAGGTAAATTTCAAGAAAGCTGCTACCAAACACAACCTTAGGCCTTTACAAAACAATCAAGATCGGAAATTAGTAATTGTATCACCTCCATGGTATGCGTACACTTTGGCTATAACGATGTAACCAACCTAGTCGATACGAGGCAATACATTTTGGTTAACATTAAATTTAATTATTTTTATTTTTATTTATTATTTAAATGAAGAAAAGGTGTCGAGCATAAAAACATTACAGACAAAATGAGATACAACTTTATTTTTTCAAAAATTGGATGGGTTAATTGCCACAATAAAGAGCAAAGAGCAAATATAAGGTTTCTCTTATTTGTAAGAATAGGGGTGAAGGTTGATTATACATGACTTTTTCTTTTTCTTTTTTTGTTTACAAAAAAATTTCTTTCCAAATTTGAACTTATGACCTTTGGAGTCACAAGGAGGTCAATTGCAACAATAATCTATAAAATTGTGTGAATCTGTTCTGTCTGAAAGACAAAGATGTCCAACCAGTGGCTGGTATATTTTATGTAGGATCTAGGTGCCCTCTCTCAAGTATCTATGAATGAGATACCCTTGAGGGTAGGCCGATCACTGTGCACAATAATAATCGACATAGTCAAGGCGTGAGGTGTATGCACAGTGACAAGCTAAAAGAGAGGGTTTAGAGAGTGTGTGTACTTTATTGGTTTAACCCTGTATTTATAGATTGGTTACCTGAAAGAGTGTACTTCTGGGCCTCTTAGAAATATTGGGGGCCCAAGTCCAACTGCTTAGCTGTCTGGATAGGATTGTCATCAATAGGAGATTTCCTTCCTTTTGTGTTGTCCTTTATTGGTCTTTCTAGAATACGCGCTTTTGTCAGGTCCATAACATAATCATTTGCAGAGAAAGGACAGATTTACTAATAAAACACTCCCAAGTGTTCAGGCATTTTGCTTGCAAGTTACAGATTGATATTAGCTACCTACATAATTAACGATTTGCAAGATTGGCTAATTTATTTGAATCTTCCTTTGTATTTCCTTCCATATTTTAGACCAAGAATTACCAGCCTTAACAATATTCTAGAACGAAAAATAGATAAAGAAATAAAAGAAATCTAAGCATGTCTTCCTATACTCTTCTTCCACACTTTTCTACTATAGTTATTCCTGAACTCTGGAAAATTCCTCTGCATATTTGAGTATTGTCTTCTCTATATACTGTTGGGTTTCCTTCTTTTGAGAAAAGGAATTGTTCTTCCTTGAGACAATTCTTAAGTGAATATCGTGGATTTCAGATTAAGAGGAATGAAAAGGGAATAACATTTCAAACACAGTGGTGCTGTTTTCTTGATTTCTTGTTTTCTTGCCAATGTCATTTGGTCACATATTACACAAAATGTTTAGACTCAAAAGAAATCATAGACAAATGAGCATGCCAAGGACAACTAGGTTGTTGCCATCTTAGGGGCTGTGTTACAAAGGCACATTAGATATCCATCTAACGAACATGGCAAAACATTCCTCAGACTTGAGCTCAGAAGTTACATGCCCCGCACCCTGCAATTAAATACAAAAAAAATTGAATTTGGATAATTCCCCTCAAAAGATGCCACAATCTTTCCTGTACTACTTTTCTTTGTATAGCTTATAAACAAGCAATGGTAGAAGTAAAAGTTGCGTGTTCTTACCTTCACAGTTGCTAATGTCATTTGATTTGAGTATGTCCTTGTGTATCTGCATGAAAGACAAATTATTTGTAAAGATATGGATAATGCTATCTTTTTCTTTTGGGTACATAACCTCGATGTATCCCAAATCAACCTCCTCTGGGCTGTCTTGTCCTCGGAGTACGATCCTAAGGTAAGTTCCTCGTTGAAACAGAGAGTGCATTGGACCACTGTCACTGGTGGAATAATGAGACTAATCACCTTCAAGGGAGAGGCGGTTTTCCTCTGGCTCCTAAAGAATTTCAAGAGTTTGCTTTGGTCAAGGTTTGAACTCTGACCAAAGCAAAATCTTGGGCGCTCAGCTTGCCAACTGAGCTACTCTTGGGGATTGGTTAATGCTATCTTAAGGTGTGCTTGGTAGGATGTTAAGGACTCTTGGGATTAGGGTGCACAATACTTGTACACAGTCTTACTCTTGTGTATATACAAATAGGTTATTTCCAAGATTCAAACCATGATCTGTCTTACCATTGGTCGAAACTTGCCCTCTTGGTAGGATGATTATAAAAGAAGAAGGAATAATGGTAAAATAGGATGGAAAGGTTGTGATTCTTGCAACATCATAGTCAATGGTGAAAATAACATTATGTCAATTTTTCTTGTACTGTGTACAAGATCTTATAAATATTCTGCTATTTGGTTTCATGTATAACAAGTAAACACCAAAACTATCAAGTTAAAAATTTCATGCTTACCCTGCGACTTGGCCATTTACATGCCATGGCCTCCAATCATGGACAATGGAGTAGTTTAGAGCCCTTATCCATGCTTGTGTCGACATGAAAGGAACAGTATAATCATGATCCCCACTGTAAAAGAAACATCATTTCCCATAAGAAGTCAACTAGTGGCTAATGGCCAGAGAAAGCTAAAAGAAAAATAATAAATATATGGTAACAACACCAGTTTAAAATTCATTTTTATTTTTTATTTTATTTTTATAATTATATACATTGTTGTTGCAATTTCGACTCAAGTGTGGTAAAAGTCAAAGATCTTCCCAAGAGTGTTTCTCCAATAATCGAATTTTCTATCTTTTAATCATTGCGGCCGGCATTCATTGGGTAAAAAAAAAACTGATTTAAATTGTTGAAGTCTTGACCTGTATATCAAGGAACGGTAGCCTTTTGAACTGAGATTTACATGAAACTCAAAGCTGCTAGAGATATCTTCCTCGTAATCGGTCCCGTTACAACGTTCCCATTGTCCTGCAGTTCCCTGCAGAACATTGGACTAAGTACATTAGTGTTTATGATATATCCATTAACTGCTGAGGCTTCTTGATCTGTTTGACTAAAAAAAAATTTATGGGAACAAAAAGTTTATGAATTAAAGTGGAATTACATGTTATCTATAAACAGAAGATTTTTATATTCTAACCCAAATGATGCAACTATGAGTAATCAGTTATCAAGATAAGTAATTTGTTCCCTTTAACTAGAGATCTCGAATTCAAAACACGAGCCACCTCTTAATGGATATGAGAGTGCTCGAACCATAGTAACTCTGATTGGCTCAAGTTTAAGTGGAACCATTCGTAAATGAACATAGAGTTAAGTATTCATTGCTAATTGTGACACAACATTATCCATCCACTATAAATATTAAGTGTAAGGTTTATTATATCAAACCTCTTGAGTATGCAGTGCCCTGGGAACACTTTTATCATTCATCCATAGTTTGCAGAGAAAGTAACCAAAAGTCTGCAATAATGGAAATAAAGAAAATAAAAAAATGAAACATTATGGAGAAAACTCTGTGTGAATCTATACAATGTATGTAAAAATACATCGCAGCTTAAGTTTGTCACTGTGAGATGGGAACTAAAAGTGGCCTTCAACTTCTGAGTCATAGATCTTCTCAAAAGAGCTTTGTGGTACTTAAGCGAATAATCTTGGCAATCGACACCCAAAATGTTGAAGCGATTAATTCCTGAAAGGCACTGAAGAACATGGCACAAACTCAACTAGCCAGATAATAAAAGTAGAAGCTATGATCATAATAAATTTGGGATGGTGATTACTTACCTCATCGAAGTAGTGGAGATCTCTTGAACACAACTCATTTCTAGAATCTATATCTACATACTCTCCTTTACAATTTTTCTGCAATGACTGTCCGTGGATAGAAAACGATTAAAATGACTAACAATTATTTTTCTCCTAATGAAACGTACATTACACATAAATGGCTGATATGACTAATGAAATATATATATATATATATATATATATATATATATATATATGTTATCAAGATATTTTCATGCAAAATTCAAATTTGTTGCGGACATGTGGTTTGGGTACTTTACGTGGTCACTCCCACTTTATTTCAAAGGGCCCGTTTGGATGAGTTTATAAAAAAAAGAATTTCAATGTCTTACTTATTTTAAGTGTTTTTTTATAAAAGCTAAAGATATAAAAAAAATTTAAAAATATATATATATTTGGCTTTTGACTTCAACTTTTTTTTAGAAGCTAAAATTTTAGTTTCCAAACAACGAATCCTTAGATTGGACATGTTGATCCCCCTGGGATTCAATAGTTTGTAAGTCAACCAAGGATTGAAAATTGGGTGGTTTATAGTGGTTTTCAAGCAGCCATTGAAGCTTGAAAACAATGTGGAAGAAAATCTTAAGTTGTTGCAAATGGATTGGATGTAGGTATAAAGCTAGAGGCTAAATCAGGATAATTCATCGTTTTCACTTTTCTTGCTCTAATGTTTTATATTTTAGCAGCTATATTGAAATGTTTCATTGTTTAATTGGCTGTTTTGACTTATGTGTTAGGTTATATCATTTGATTTAAAGATTTCATGAATAAATTGGTTTCTAGTATATAAGGGATCTTGTAATCGATTTTCAATGCTAAAAGAGCATTTTGCTTTTGTTTTGTGGTTGAATCAAGTAGTACGTTCCACCTCTCCATTATATATATTTGATTTTCACATAACTTCCATATTGTACATCATTACATTCCAAAAAAGGAATTGTTTTATGGAAAAGATTTTAAAACTCAATTCAGCCCCTGTTGTGTTTATTGAAGCTACTTGTCTAATAACCATATGTTGACTTGTATATTTTTTTATAGTTGGAAAGATTTAATTTCTAATTTGATTGACCAATTTATGTAGCAATTAAAGGGAATCCGTTACATGGAGAGATTGTAGGAATTATGTGGAGAGATTTTTGAATTTTTTAATTTCCTGATTATTTAGAATTTTCTTCCTTGATTTATGGCTGATTTGTAGCCTGATTTATGACTGATTTGTAACTCTAAAATTTTGTATATAATGACCTCTATTAAGGTCGAAGAAATACAAATGAATTATTATTCTATACAGTTCCTTGATTTGTAACATGGTACCAGAGCCTTCTAATCCAGCAAAGGGACTGCGAAATGAGTCTCACATGTATCCATACTTGAAGTGTAATTCTGAAATCATCTTCACCTTTCTTTCATTATTCTATTCTCCCTAGCAAAGAAATGGCCACTATCTCTGATGAAAGTCCCTAGCAACCCACTACCAGTGCTGCTTACTCGAGTACTGTTGGTAAAACTCTTTTTTTCCCTGCATGTTCTAGAGATGATATTTGGATAATTGACACTGGAGCTTCTGATCATATGATAAAGGATGCTAGTAAGTTGCATTGTTTGTTCCCCTTTTTTCAATCATTCATTTCTATTGCTGATGGTAGTACCTCTTCTATCACTGGTAAAGGATCTCTTATCCTTTCTGAACATCTTCATTTGACTTCTGTTTTGGTTGTCCCTTCCCTTGAATATAACTTACTTTCTGTAGCACAACTTACTAGTACCTTGAACTGTACTATCACCTTTTGGCCCTCATTTTGTGTGTTCTGGGACATTTTCACCGAAAGACTCTTGGCTATGGTGTTAAGTGAGACAAACTTTATTATCTGGATGTTACCGGAAAGAGACAGAATAAATTGGGAGAGGTCAATCATGCCAGTACTGAAGATAAGGCTCGGGAAACAATTTGGCTTTGGTATAAAAGACTAGGATATCTCTCTTTTGGCTATTTGAAAAAATTACATCCACGATTGTTTTCTAGTTTGAATATTGATGATTTCCATTGTAACACATGTGAACTAGCAAAAAGCCATCGTATTTCCTATTCTCTTAGTAGTAATAAAAGTTTAATTCCTTTTGAAGTTGTTCACTCGGACGTTTGGGGACCAGCTGGTGTCCCTTCCCTATCTAAAGCTCAATACTCTGTGACATTTATAGATGAAAGTACTCGAATGACATGGCTCATGTTGTTACATAAGAAAACTGATGTATTTACAGCCTTCCAAAATTTTCACCAAATGGTAACCATTCAATTTCAATGCCAGATTCAAATTTTACAGTCAGATAACGAGACCGAATATATAGATAAATCTTTAGCGTAGTTCTTAAATCACCAAGGGATTAAAGATCAGACCTTTTGTACTTGTACACCACAGCAAAATGGTTTGGCCGAAAGGAAGAATAAACAACTTATGGAGGTTTTTCGTGCCTCTCTCTTTGGCATGAATATGCCCCATTTTAACTGGGGTGAAGTTGTTCGCTCTGCTACTTATCTAATTGATCTTACCCCTTCCCTTCTAGTGTCATCAACTTTGTGACTCCGCAACAGAAGTTTAAATCACTACTTTCAGTTCCCCGCATTCCCAATCTTGAGCCTCGTGTGTTTGGCTGCACTGTTTATATTCATATTCCCAAAGTATTGCGTAACAAACTAGATCCATGTGCTAAAAAGGTGTGTGTTTGTCGGTTACTCTAATGTTCAGAAAGGATACCGGTGTTATGATCTGTAACAACAAAAAGTACATATCACTCTAGATGTCTTTTTTCGAGAATTTGAACCTTATTATTCAGGGGGAGTTTCTGGGTCTCCTATTCAAGGGGAGAGTTATTATGAAAGCAAGACCAATTAGCCACCTTAAATGGAGGAGGAACTGAAGCAACATATACAGGTGCAGAGAATGTTGAAGTCTTACAGTTTGACTCTCCGATAACAATAGAAATACCTTGCTTAACACCAGAAATTGAGGGATCTCTACGGGACCACCATAACCCAATAAAGGTAATTTCTAATCCTACTTCTCTTGAAGAAAATATCTTTTAGAATGATAATGTACCCACTGAAAGTGTCATTGTGTTTCCTGATATTCCTACCGAAACCATAATTGATTCTGGTGACATAACTCGTACAAGATCACATAGGACCAATAAGGGTGTACCAAAGGAACTGTACGAACTGACCCCAATACTAAAGCTAAATATCCTATTAGTAACTATGTGTCTAATCACAGGTTATCGAGTCATATGCTCTTGTTATTGACCAATTGTCCAGTATATCTGTCCCTAGTAATGTGCAGGATGCATTGGAGGATCCGAATTGGAAGAATGCAATGAATGATGAAATGGAAGCCTTGCAAAAGAACTCTACTTGGGAGCTCGTGCCATTACCAGATGGCAAAAGAACCATTGGATGTAGGTGGGTGTTTACTATGAAGCTAAAGGCAGATGGAAGTATTAACAGGTATAAAGCTAGATTCGTGGCAAAAGGATACTCGCACAAGTATGGAGTAGATTACCAAGAAACCTTTGCACCAGTAGCCAAACTCAATACAATCCGGATAATTATGTGCATAGCTGCAAATAGAGATTGGCCACTACGACAATTTGATGTTAAAAATGTATTCTTAAATGGAGACCTCGAAGAGGAGGTGTACATAGAGATATCACCAAGTGTCAAACAAAGTTCTTTTAGTGATAATAAAATTTGTAAACTGAAGAAAGCCTTATATGGACTTAAACAATCCCTTAGAGCATGGAGATTCGATATAAACAAAGCAATGCTGACCACACCTTGTTCATTAAACACAAGGAAAGAAAAGTGACCGTATTGATTGTCTATGTAGATGACATGGTCCTGACAGGAGATGACATAGATGAGATGAAACTTCTGCAAAATCAACTAGCAAGTGAATTCAAAATGAAAGACCTAGGAGAATCAAAATACTTCTTGAGAATTAAGATAACAAGATCAAAACAAGGTATTTATCTTTCACAAAGGAAATACGTACTAGATCTCCTCACTGAGACTGGAATGCTCGTGTGTAGGCCAACAGAAACATCGATTGAGATGAATCATGTGCTTGGATTATTTCTAGAGCAAAAGTCAGCAAATATTAGTTAGTACCAAAGGTTGGTTGGAAGACTGATATACTTGTCTCACACGAGGCCATATATTACATATGTGGTAAGTGTTGTAAGTCGCTTTATGCATAAACCAAGTGTAGATCACATGAATGCAGTGTACCGAATTCTGAGGTACTTAAAGGGTGCCCCTGGCTGAGGATTATTGTTCGCAAAAAATAATGTCAAGGTGTTGAAGGTTACACTGACTCTGATTGGGATGAAGATAAAACAACAAGGCATTCAACATCAGGCTATTTCACCTTTGTGGAAGGCAATTTAGTTGGAAAAGCAAGAAGCAGAAAGTAGTAGCAAGATCAAGTGCAGAAGCTGAATTTCGAGGCATGGCTCAAGGAGTATGTGAGCTATTGTGGGTCAACAACGTATTAAAAGACTTGGGAACTTGTAATGACAAACCAATGAATCTCCACTGTGATAACAAAGCTGCCATTGAAATAGCAAATAATCCTGTGCAACATGACCGAACCAAACATGTGGAGATTGACCGATATTTTATCAAGGAGAAGCTACATCAGAAAATTATACAGTTCCCATTTGTTAAGTTTGAAGATCAATTAGCTAATATACTTATTAAAGTTGTTTTCGGAAGAGTTTTTCAAGGTGCAATTGACAAGTTGAACATGATTGACATCTATGCTCCAACTTGAGGGGGAGTGTTGACTTGTATATTTTTTTATAATTGGAAAGATATAATTTCTGATTTGATTGTCCATTATATGCAGCAATTAAAGAGAATCCGTTACATGGAGAGATTGTAAGAATTATGTGGAGAGATTTTAGGAGTTTTTAATTTTCTAATTGTTTGTAATTTTCTTCCTTGATTTATGGCTGATTTGTAGCCTGATTTATGACTGATTTGTAACTCTAATACTTTGTATATAATGACCTCTATTGAGGTAGAAGAAATACAAATGAATTACTATTCTATAGAGTCCCTTGACTTGTAACACCATAATTATCCGCTGCATCACGTATACACTAGAATATTCTCCACAAGTGCCTATATATACAAACATGCTCTTAGGTGTGGATCATCTCGGTTTTACATTAGTCTACATGTATCTTTTCATATATTGACTTAAGTATCGGAGTCTCTCTAGCTAAAACATCAACTATTGCCAACAGCAACACCCAAAAGAGCCACCTACTTTCCACCTCCATCAACCAACAAGAGAGAATAGATTCAACCTAGCAACCAAGTTGATCGATCTCGGAATTAACTAAGTACATATACATCAGCGCGGTCTATATCAATTTCAAGAGATATATACTATGCAAGTTGCTTTACTAAACATGAATAATTGCCCAACATTACTTTTGAAAAATAATATCATTATTACCGCATAGAGTTCATCAGAAATAAGTGCCATTCCATGGGCAAATGGAATTTGATGGTTCTTTTCTCTTCGAGTTGTTACGGGATTCCCTAGCACATATCCCTGAAAAAATTAAGAGCAATTTAGGCTTCATAATCCGTATAGTAAGATCTATGGTTAATACTACCACTTCATAAAGGTTAAGAACTCGCTTAAACAAGGATACCCTTAATTTTTCTTTGTTGGATTTGGCTATCAAAAACCACTTTAACGATTTCTTGTCAGTAGTTAAAAGAAAAATCCGAGGAATTGATTACAAACCTGGAGATTTATCCATGGGTTGAGACCTTTTTCATTTCCTGTGGATCAAGAAAATTGATGTGTTACAGTCACCTTAATCTTAATCACGTGAGTTACACTTTATATATCTGTAGTCATTTTGTGAAATGGTTTAATTTGTATGCTTCTACGAAGGAACTTTTGTAAAAACTATGTTTAACTTCATAAATCATATTCAATCCTTGTTCTTATGGATTTATTTAGAGTATGTCAAAAGAAAACAATTTTATGGATTTTATCAATGTAGATCCCACCATTTTTAAAATAAAAAGAAAAAAAATGGTGGGCTTCACATTGATTGTGTCTATAACATTGCCTAAGCATTTTCCTACAGCATGACATATGTACTTCGCATATATATATATATAAAGACAGCAAAGTGCCAATTTTAGAAGCATTACAGAAACCCAAACTACGAATAATCAAATGGCAATGGCAAGAGATATATTTCAATCCTCTTTATTTTATGCATTGAATAAATTGCTTGTCTGTTGGTGGACAGCATGGTTAGATTGTTTGAAATATATCTAACAATTGAATCAAATAAAATTTCTTACCATTAGAAATTTCTTGAACAACAGCAGGGAGAGACATGCCAGAGTAGGAATCACCTCCAATGTACAATTTGTTTGAAAGAAATTCCGAATGCTCAATCAGCCACTGCAAAGAAGATAAAGAGATGTATAATGCAGCTTAATAATAAAATTATCAAAATTACATCTTTTTTTTTTTTTTCAGTTACAATTAGGAGCTGTAACTTCCAAACCAAACTATAAATTAAATTAAATTAAAAAAGAAACCTAGTAGAAGTGAAATGATCGCTAAGTGACTGTACCTTCCTAAAAAATTGGTGGGTATGGTGAACTAATTTCCAGTCACTTCGTTGAGCAGTGAGATTTTTTGCATAAGAGAATCCAGTTCCAAGTGGCAAATCTACAAAAATAATGCTACACACCTGACCAGAAAACCATTAACATTATTTGCATTAAACCATGCTCAATTAACAAAACTAATTACAAAAAGAATAAGTATTACTATTATGCATTTATAACAACATAAATAACACATATGTTGCAACCCATGCTTAACGTAAATAGTAATATTTATTACATATTTTGGATTAACTTCATCAAACGAAATCAATGTAAAATTTTTGAGGATGCATTCTATTACCTTTGTCCATGAATATTGCCTCGAGACCAAATTTGGCAAGCTCCCGTTGTACTCCTCAAGTTTAAATGCAAGTGGGCCTATAACACCCAATTGATGATAAAATTCATTTTAGCAAAGTTGGTAAAAATATAAAACAAACACAAAGATAGGGAAACACCACATTCGTGTCAAATGTCAATGATGCAAAATGATTCTGCACGAGTTATAATCTCAACCAAACAGGCTAATGATATGTCTGTATTTGAATTTGATAAAAATAAATAAATAAAATCATTTTAGATGACAATTGGAGTAGATACAAAAACAAATTTTTTTTTTTTTGGATACACGATACAAAAACATTTTCTGAAGACTATTTCCACCAAATAACATTTCAGGAAGTGGTGCAAAACCTTTAATTTTGACTAATAAATAGGGGCGAGAATATTTTATACTATAATTACATTCTCAATATTAGTTGTTTATTCTATTTAATTTAACAAATCTAATGTGTTAGCGTGAGTCATTAAATATAAGTAGAAAAAAGGGTAAATACACTAAGCCTCCTTTATATGGAGTAAGATATTGTAACAATCAATTAAAGTTACTATCAATCAATTTTATCATTAAATCAATTATGCTGATTTATTTCTTTCTTTATATGTTTATAATTTTTCATATTTTATATTTTATATTTATTTCTTTCTTTGTATTGTTATAATTTTTCATATTTTATATTTTCACATTAAATACGAGGATATAAATAAGTCAGACCACTTATTAAACATGGGACCTAACAAGCACGGACACGCAAGTTTTTGAAAAATTTGCGTGTCGGACATGTGTCCGACACAGACAAGCTCCGACACGCGGTCAACATTTGGAGACACGCGATCAACATTTGGGGACACGCGATCAACTCTCCGATATGTTTTTTTGGCACGCAGTCAACTTTTTCCGACACGCGGTCAACGCTCGGACACGTTTTTTTTTTTAAATCTTAATTTTATTTTGTTAACTAAATATATGAGAAATAATTTATAAATTAATTTTTTCCTATTATGAAATTTGACATGAAAAATTAACAAAGTACGAAAAATTATTTATATTTATATTTATGTTATGAAATTTAAATATTTGATTAGTTATATGACTTATTATGGACTCTTATATGTATTAAATATAAATTATATTATATATATTAAAATTTTTATTTAATATCAAAATGTGTCTCAACATGTCGAAATATGATATTTTTTAAAATTTATGTGTCGACGTGTTGTGTCCCGTGTTCGTGTCCGTGCATTATAGCATGGGACACAGGGCTCTCGCCCCTTCCATGTAAAAAAAAAAAAAAAAAAAGATGATTGTATCTGGAACTTGAAGGAGAAACGTTAAAAAAAAAAAAAAAAAATTCATGGATGCAGAGTTGCTGATTAAATATTACCTATTTGATAGGCAAGAGCCGAAAACGAAGAGCAGCCAGGGCCACCAGATAGCCAAAGCATTACAGGGTCTTTACTAGGATTGTTCTCTGATTTAATAAAGTAGTAGAACACTTGTAGATCATCCTCTGTTTCCCCCAATCCCACATACCTGTGAAATGCACACAAATGGAAGAAAACAAGAACGTTACGTGACTTCATATTGTGCAAGAATTAACTTGACCAACTAAAAATTCAAGAATTTTCCAGAAACAAAAAACGCTGCTAGAAATTTATAGTGTGTCGTTGCTCACCCAGTTTCAAGTTCAAAGGGAAGGAGCCCTTCAAAGCCAGGAAGCACTTCAATCGTTGATCGAGAGGTTGCAAGTTGAGAATTGAGACATAAGAAAAGTGCTAAACTAAGTGAAAACCCACCATAGCACCACGAGTTACATGACATAGAACCCATCTTTGGGTGCTTTTTTTCGTAGGAACAATGCTGCAAGGAACACGAGTGAATATATACAACTATCCATACTTGGTAACGGTTAAAATATATTTTTGTCCCAACATGTCATTTACTTTTGGCAAATCATTTTCTACAAGCAAAAGCTCAGAGAAAAAACAGGGGAAGTAGGTGAAAGTGGGCTGGGTTGGGCCGAGCTTTGCCCCGTACAATCCAAGTCTATGTCAAAAAATTTCAATTTGGCCCGGCCCGATAGCATAGTATGAGTTTAACTGTTAGCCTGCCTTGACCCATTTATAAAAAAACAAATGGCCCGGCCCGGCCCGGCCCGTTGGCCTGTTAATTTTTAACTTCCAAGCAGACCATGAATCAACTCCGCAAAATACTCAAATTCTATTGTTAAAACAAAAAATGACAATTTTAACGTCCAAACAGAACCATGAATCACAACAATAACTCATCATAATCTGCATTTAAGTCACTTTCAAAAGCAAAATGCTCAAACTAAATAACATATAATTCATCAGATCTAACAAGTCAATCCATACTATGTAAATTAAAATAACTACATGAATACAACAAACACATCATAATGACTACAAGAGTAGCCAAAAACTTATCTTCATCTTCTCTCCCCTGCAAATACAATTCCAAGGGTACATAAGTTGGCAAATAATTTGTAAATGTAGAAAAAAAAACAAGAATAAAGAATAGAAACAAAAAAACTCAAGACTAAGAAACAAGAAAACCTTTTAATAGATTCACATAGGCAATCTCACATGCTGAGATGTTGGTTCCTCCTACATAAAAATAAAGTCAAATTTCAATTAAAATTTAATCGAATATAATTAAATTATAAAATAATTTAAATTGATTAAATTTATACCTTTTGTTTTTTCTTCAAGTCGTACTTATTACGTAGTCAATCTCCACCACATATTAAAGCTTGGATGGTATCTTCAGCCAAGCTAGAACGATAAGCATCAATAACTCTTCCTCCAGCACTAAATGTTGATTCTGATGCTACTGCAGAGATTGGTACACCAAGTATATCTCTTGCCATTTGTGATAAAATTTTATACTTTAAGCTATTACTCCTCCACCATTCTAAGGCATCAAATGAAAGATGAGATTTTTCATGATATTCATAAACACCTTCTTCAAGATATGACTTCAACTCTGACTTTGTTGTAGGAATAGATTCCTGTTCACGCACCATGCTCATGATTTGGTCAAACCCAGAGGTAGAGCCACGTGGAACTTGAGTAAAGGAAGTAGAAGAGGATACATTCATGCTAGACCCCACTTGACTATCAGAGGATGATTCTTGCAAACTTAAAGCTGAATATTCATTATACAGAGTTTCTAAAGCTTCACTCACCTTATCCATGTTAATTTGTGCCTCATGTTCTGATTTGTATATAAGTGGAAAGCAAATTTTCACCACATGGAATTTACATCGTGGGTCTAAAACACTAGTAATGGCCATCAACATATTGTATTCCCCCCAATATTTATCAAATTTATCTTTCATAAACCTTGACATTCCTCTCATAAAATCATAATTGTCTTCAGCTGCAACATCAATCACTTGTTTCACCCTAAACACTTCAGGAAGATATAAATTTGCTGTAGGATAATGAGTACCTGACATAACATTAGTAGCATGACTGAAAACTTCTAAAAGATGGCATACCTTTTCAACCTTTTCCCAATCCTCAGTTGATGGCAAATAATTATAATGTGGCTCCCACTCCTTATATTCTGGAAAAACATCTTTAAATTTAGAAGCAACGGACAGCATTTCATATGTTGAATTCCATCTAGTGGGACAATCAACAACTAGTTTCCTTTCTTTTACACCCATCTTCTTAACAATATCACAGAAAGTCTTCAATCTTGAGTCAGAATGATTAACATATTTGACACTTTCACGAACATTTTCAATGATACCTTTGATTTGACTAAGACCATGTTGCACTAGCAAATTCAATATATGAGCACAACATCTCACATGAAATAGCTGTCCACCAAGGACTAAGTCAGTGTTTCTTGCTAATGTGCTTTTCAAATTTCTTATACAAACATCATTGTAGGCTGCATTATCCACAGATACTGAAAATATCTTATTTTCAATTCCCCATAATTGCAGACATTTAAAAATTGCAGCAGCAACATCAACTCCACGCCTTGGAGGTGGAACCTTTACAAAACTCAACACTCGCTTCTGCAATTTCCATTCTGAATCAATAAAATGGCCTGTGATGACCATATATTCAGCTATTTGGTGACTAGACTTCCAGATATCAGTGGTTATACTGATCTTGTTCACACTTCCCAATAAAGCCTTCAGAATTTTCTTTTCTGCCTCATATAATGTAATACAATCTCTTCTTACAGTAATACGCGAAACTTTCTCAAAATCAGCATTCGCAAACTTAAAGGCCCACATCCAAACATCATCCTCCACAATACTGAAAGGATACTCGTGAATCATAATTGCAGTAGCAATAATTTCTCTCATCTTTTCATTGGTATAAATTCCCCCAGGTGCAAGAAAAGGATTCAAAGTAGAACCTGTAGGCTGGAATGTTAAAGTGGTCTGCTTCTTCCTTGATTGGTCCAATTTCTTAGTCAAGCAACTTTGTGAATGCCTCCTTAGATGACTGGTGCTACCTCCAACTCCACCAGTTGCAAATTTTTGTTTGCAATAGTTATAAACTGCTTTACGCCCAATATTAGGAAGGTCCACTTCATGGAAATCATTCCAAACTGCAGAAGTTTTTTGCCTCTTTTTTATCAAGCTTTGATCTTCAGATTCTTCACCTTGTGGGACTGGTTCGTTTTCAACATCATTGCTTCTATCTTGATTAGAAGCCATCTGTTAAACAATACGCTGCATTAGAGAAATTAAATTATACAGAATTATACAAAAGTAATATCTATAAATATCAAATATCAAGAAGAAATATACAGAAGTAATATCTATAAATATCAAGAAGAAACAAATACTGTAAGCTCCAATAAGATCTTACTCTTGACTGTAAGATCCCACATGGGTTCAGTTTTGCATCAAGAAGATCAATATATGAGAGGGTATATTTGACTATGTTTGATGCCTCTTATTTAAAGAATTCGGTCAATTTAAATATTAATTTCATACATGTATAACAACTTCAATGAAAGAATAGACACTTGAGGCACAATAGGCACTTGCCCATCCGGTGCACTTGCCCACCCCCTATATTATTATCATATCATCAATTAAATCAATTAATTATGTGTATCATATGTCATGTTAATGTCATACAGTAACAGTATATATATTATGAAAAATAAATGAAAGATCGAAACAGAGGCAATTTCCACCATTGTCACCAATATACGAGTTTATCTCGAATTAACACATTTATCAAATTCACAAATGAACTTCCGAGTTTAAAGGACCTTGTTTTGGTATTAGTGAAAGTTTTTTAGTATCAATTTAAATTCACCAACCTTTATTCCAAGAATAAGGGTTCAACTTTAGCTTTGGTTGGCTGCTATTCTGTGGAAAGAAGGGTCCTAACTCCTCTGCTGCTCCATAACCAATTGAGGAACAACCAGGACCTGAAACAGTCATGCATTTTTTCATATTAATTGCAATGATCGATGTACATTTATGTAACAATAAGTTATCAATTCGTATAGGCTATAGCTAATTGCTATTTACTTCTTAATTGTCTATTAGAAACATGAGTACTAGATACTAGATACCATAAGAATAAAGACCAGCAAAAAAAAAACATGGGCCATCTTTTCACATTATAGTAATACCTTCACATGCATAACAGCTAAAGTCTTAACTTGGAGAAAAAATTTCAAATGCACCGAATCGATATATAATATGTGCCAGTAATATTATTAAAAAATGAATTTAATCCTCGTAAAAAAGAAGATGAACCTAATCTTAATTGAAGATTCCTTAGCATAAAAAACAATTGCATAAGCATGTAATAGCACAACTGCACAAGGGATTAATCTGATTAATTAAAAGAATAATTTTGTAGGACAGTAATACTGTTATGTATATAATTAAGCAGGCAGACACAAAGGCAGAGACAGACCAGTAGTTTCGTGGGAAGTTTGGTCGAAGAAAGCAGCAATCTCCCTCTTGCGAGTGGGAGTATCGCCGGTTTTAGCGAAGTTGGGGAAAAAGTTGGCAGCTGTAATGAAAGAGATATCTAAGCCCTAGCGTTTGGCGAACAAAGAACAACTAAAAACTAAAAAAATCTCACCTAATTTATAAAGCAAAAAATAAAACCCATAAATCAGAGAGTCTCTCTCTCTTCATCGAGAGAGAGAGAGAGAGAAGAATGAGAAATTGAGAAGTCGGCAGTACCTGGAATGGAACGTTGAGAGATGAAGCAACGGGAAGGAAGATCAAAGATTCATGTAAATCAAATGTAATGATTGGAATAGAAAGATCTAGGGCAAATGGAACAATCCCTTTAAATTTTAATAAGACCAATCAGTTTTTTAGATTCTGGACTCTGGCTGCACGAACAATTGGAGCCTCTTCGGTTGTGTATGTTGTGCTAAAAATATGAAGGGGAACAATTGGGCCAGCCTTGGAGGCTCATGGGCCAGGCTTAATACCTTAATATACCGGCCCAATTAGCTAATCAAACTTTTATATCAGCCCAAGCCCAACCTGTCAAATAAAAAGGCCAGGCCACTAATGGGCCGGGTTGTAGGCCCCTGTAGGCCGGCCCGGCCCAGTTTCACCCCTAAGGGGAACCCATCTCTATTTTGTACACGTGGGAAATTGATTTTTTTTATGTAAAAGGAGAGAAATATAACCCTTTATTTTTAACTTAATTTCTATATAAATAAATTTTAAATCTAATCATTATATGTAGGGATGTAAATGAGTCAGACGACCTATTAGGAGCCTATGATCCAGCCTATACTAAGTCAGATTTGACCTATTATATTTAGTAAAATATAACAGACTCAAGCTTTTAAAAAAGCAT